GCCCGGAGGCGCGGCGGGGGACTGCGAGCCCCTTTGACGGTTTGCCTCGGCCCCAGGGTTAGTTCGGCTCTGACAGACCCTGAAAGGGACGGCCGAGGCAGGATTGTGCTTTTGCTGTCCTCTGCAGTGGTGGTGTACCAGGGTGTGTGTGTGAGGTCTGGGGGTGGGTCTGTCTGTCTGTCTGTCCGTCCTCCCCCCTCCCCCGGCAGCCTTCTGGAAATGTGTCCAACGCACTAAGCAAAATTCATCAGAGCCATCCACGTGGGAAATCATTACCTGCTGCCTCGGACATAGTCCAGATCCCCTATGTAGCTGGTTACAAACGTGTGCCAAGGTGTTGCGATGCCCTCACCTCACTGCCAAAAAGGGCTTTTCCCAGCTGCTTTGCCTTAACACAAGGATCATCTGGCCTTTCCTGGGTCTCACTGCTCTGCTCGCCTGTTTGTAGATAAACTCGTAGCTTTTCCTGGTGAGTTTTCTTGCCTTCTCTTCCCCTGGGTGAGCAGCACTCGAGATTTGTTCTAGGTATTTGGTTTTGCTTGCCATTCCAACCTATCCATCTCTGTGTCTTAGGTTTCATTTAAATAATAAAATTCCTGTGCTGTCTAGGGCTGGTCAGATTACCCGGGCACGCAGTCACCATGCGTGGGCTTTGCCTTGTCACCAGCAGCGACTGCGTTACACGAGGGGTGAACACCCCGTGTCTGACCGCAGGGCTGAAAACCCTCCCTCTTGTCTTCCTCAGCTCATCTGGGCCTCCTTACACCTTAGTTGCTGTCATGGTTTAGGCCAAACCAGCCATTGCACAAGCAACAGATGCTCCTCACTACCTCTCCTCAAAGAGAGACGCAGAGGAGGGAAAAGGAGACTTACGAGTTTAGAGGAAACTAAATTACTTTAAGAAAATATTAATAATGAAAAGGAAATAATGAAATATATACAAAACCATATCAAGCTCCCAGGATGACAATCACGTCACTGGTTAGCACTGGCGAAGTCCCAGACTGGACTCAGTCATGGATGGAAACTGGTTTCTGGATTGGGATCAAAGGCAGACAAACAGACAGAGTCCTTCTCAGACACTGGCCACTGAAGAAAGAGAGCTGACCCTTCCATCCCTCAGCTTTTATATTGAGCATGAGGCAGATGGGATGGAATACCCTCGTTGGTCAGTTTTGGGTCACCTGTCCTGTTTGCTCCTCCCCACAGGTGGGACCCCTCTACGCTTTTCCTCTTCTGACCCCCCAACGGAGCAAGGAACAAAGCGAGCTGACCTTTGTTGTTGTAGCAATAAGTATAAGCAAGAGCCTTTCTGCATACCATTCCTTGGCATCACCTATAAACACAGGTCTTATCACTCTGAGAATGAACAGTGTCTGTACAATATACTGTTAATTTCAGTAGTTAGAAGAGGCCCAGCTAAAAAGTAAAGTTACTGAACAAAACTGGTCCTGTTTTACCTCAAACCAGGACAGTTGCACGTGAAGGCTTTTGTGGTCTCACCATTCACACTGAAATAAGAGACCTCTGGAATGTGCAACTTTAAGTACTAAAAGGGTTTCTTAATGAGTCTATCCCTAAGATCAGACAGGTGAAACCTCTGATTTTATAAGTCTGGTTTGTTAGATAATTTAAGAGTCAGCCTTGTTCACTTACCCTTGTCTTCTTGGCTGCAAATGCTGTAACAAATGTCTAAATGAATGAATCATAAATTATTCATCCACCTGTGTTTCCACAGAGCGTGGAGTGCAGAGGCATCGCTGACTCAATTATCTGTGTGTGGATTAACCAGGCTGTGGATGGTATGTGCCACAGACGCTAGCTAAGGCAGCAGTGTGAATGCAGCTGTATCGCTTCAAAGCTCACCTGGATCCAATTGCATTACAGCTGCCTTGGTAATAGAACACTAACGAGTCCTACCAGATCTTTGCTGCTTCTGCATCGGATCACCTCAGGTTTCTATGCACCGCATTGGTGGAACAGGAATACTACAGAAAGGGGCAGAGTGGTTCCAAAGAGGATTTGCTGCCTCCAATGTGAAGTTACCTACGTTTGTCAGAAGGAATGAAGTATTTTTAGTGTTATTCTCTGTATTCTGTTGCAAGACCTGCCATTACTGAAAAATTAATAGGCTATACTGATATGAAAATATCCATATAGGAATACTTTGATATTTCTCCTGAGAGCCTTACATTCTTTTACATTTCTCAAAATGTTGTTTCTGAAGATGAGTTCATTGGTCAGATCCTAAAGTAGCAATAGGGCTATTTGTGACTTCTGAAGGTAAAAATTCCATGGCTGGATTATTGAAATTGCTCTATTCCTCAGTCCTTTCATTTGAGACCAGGGAAAATACAGAGAAGGAAATAGTTATGAATCAGCTTGATTGCAATTTAGTAAGAATTCTGAAAACTGGGTGCAACATCACAGGAGAACAAGCATGCAGTGTGATAGGTTTTTGAAATTTCCATATTACTTACGTAAAAACTCCTGTCTAGCTATTTACTTAATGATGATTTTTTTTAATGGTTGTTGTTTTTTTTAATTTTCAAAATGCCAGATACATCAAAAAGGTTAAGAGGTACTATTCAGCCATGCAATATCCCAGACCATGACTGTCAGCTCTGTTAATTGTGGGCTTCTGGAAAGCCCAGGTGTTACAGTCACCACCTGGCTTTGTTGTTCTGGAATACAATGCAACAGAATGCTGAACAACCACAAAGGCAGATAAAACTCCCAGCCACCACGGGTCTGTCATTTTAAGCTATTACAATCCCCTACTAGACCTAGTGTCATAGTTCCCTCTTTTTAGTTCTGCTATCGTTCCTTGTTTTCACTCTCCTATGTTCCTTAACTCTTCCTACTGAGCGTGAGCCCTACATTACTTTCGTGGACTACCGTAGCATTTGCTTTGAATGAAAAATAAAGCGCGTTTTATCAGCTTGTGGAAGTGATCTTCACAGCTAGGTGGCAACAAAAGAATTCCATTAGGCTTCCTTCAGTAAAAAGTGAGAAATGTAATGCGAGAGCAGTAAAAACAGCTGCCTGACTCTAATGTCAGCGACAGTCTCCTTCAATTTAAATATTTGCAATAGCCATAATTAAACACTTAGTAACTGGCATGGAGTTAAAATAGAAATACATTACATAGCCTTAGTGCTGTGCAGATTTTAATTCAGATTTATATCCTCCTTGGCTTTGTGCCTAGAATAAGTCTTGTGATTTAAAGGCTGTTTTACACAGTATAGAAATTGTCATACAGGACAAATTATCTTCTACGTGAGTAACAGAATTTTGACTTTTTCTGGAAGCAGCTCCCTAAAGAGATCAAACAATTTTATGTTCTGCTTCCACTGTTTAAAGACTTAAGAGATTCACATCTGCGAATAGAGGGATCATCTGTGTGGGTCACTGAATCTAGTTTCTGGCTCCTGAAGTCTATCACATCATCTAAACCTCCTAAACATGTTTTTTTCCTTTATCCTCTAAAACTGGTGTTGAAACTGGTGATCCTCTTACACACAGTTACTATCATGTAAGATGACGTGTTAGGAACTTGGGCTGACCATGCCTTCTGAAAAGATGCATATGTAAACAAATGTTGTGTGGTTTTTGCCCTCATTTTTATTCTTTTGGACGATGAGCATAGCAAACCATGGCATAGTATACAATGAGAACAGAAATACAGATCTCAACATTCTTACCCAGATATTTGCCATTCTGCTGTAGGAGCTTCGATGGTAAGTTTTCAGTTTCTTAAAGATTTGATTCCAACAGAAAAAAAAAAGTATCAGTATAGCATAAAAATGAAATTCTATTACAAAAAATTAACACATTTTTATTCTATATGCCTGTATTATCCAAATTTTTCTAATCACACTGTAAAGGTGAAATAAAGGTTAAAATTCAACCTTGTAGTAAATAGGCACACTGGGAGATTTCCAGCAGGCCTGAATTTGTTCCAAGTGTATTTTATTGTACTTCAGAGCGCAGTATACAGACTGTGGCTCCACTTCTTGCTGCCTCATAGGCAGCCATCTTCTGAGCTGTTTCTCTCGCCATGAAGCCATGCTGAAGGATCTTGAACTGTCGTTCCCGACTCTCTTCCAGTTCTTTCCAATGGTTCCACTGCAAAGAATCCTGCAGAAAAGACACACAGATGATCAGACTCCAAAGACTAGAGTGGTTCTCTTCAGAGGATACACTGAACTTCTATTTGATAATCTGGCTGGCTGGCAACACAGTTTATTTCCTAATATGATTGGGAAACTTGTCAACATCAAACTGGGTGTGATGAATAGAGGTAACTTGAGCGAGTTGCCCAGTTTAAGATGAATTAAACACAGCTGCAACACTGCACAAAATGTTACAGCAAGATAAAACTACATCTGGATGGTTTGCTCCAATGCTTCTACCTTATGTTGTTTCTTTGCCAACAGTTTATTCTTGAAGCCATAAATGAAGACTTGCACAAATCCTATCAGATTCTACTGGTTTGCTCATTCACAAGTGAGCATGCCCAAAAAAGCTCAGAACAAACAGAAAACTGCTACTTTTTAACCTGATTCTTTGCTTAAAATGGTAGAATTTTTTTTTTTTTTTCATTAATGGTAGTTTTTCTTATGGTTAGTTTTCCAAAATGCAATATAAATTCTGTTTTATTAAGAATGTAATAGTAATTTATAAACAAATGTTACCTTGACTTACATTAGCACAAACCCATTGGGCCTGAAGGACCATCTCAAATGTAACTGAAGCCACAATCTGGGCTTAGAACTTTAGCACAAGGGGTTAGTGTCACATTTTTTTGAGGAACCTAAAAGGTAGCAGTACAAACTGAATGCCAGACACCTATTGCATTATAACTAAGGGAGGAATTTTCTCCTTCAGTCACACTTAACACCATTTTCAGCAATATGCAGTTCAGCTAGAATAAAGATGCTGCTGCACATATCTGACTGGAATTGAGCCACTTCCCTGTGGTAGCATTTGGATAGGGTCATGCAGAACTCAACAGCACTGGTGGAAGATATACCAAAACAGCTAAATAATTTATAGTAACCTTGATTTTTTTCCATTGCTTTTTTCTATTTTTGTTTACAGATGTCTTAACATTTGAGCAGAACATAAAAAAAGCACTGTGACATCTTAAGAGCCTTACTGTGTAAAGCTAAGCTCAAGAGAAAGACAAAATCTAACATCAAAGCAACTTTCAAGCCCTGGCTTTTTTGCTCATTCATATGACACCAGAGGACTCGTACAGACTCACATCAGGTAGTCAAAAGTTCCAGCTGTGAATTTGTAATTTCTTTTTGTTTATTTTAAAAATATCTCACGTTTGTAATTATATGGCTGCTTTCCTTTGAAGTCTGTATTTATTGCTTCTACTTTACTCTGGACGCCATTCAGCAAAGTGTTTCAGCACGTGTTCAAAACTTTAGTTCAGAAAGCCATCCTGATTTAGGAAATGCTTTCTTCAAATAGGTCTTCAATGGTTTATTTGCTAAAAGGGATGGGCCTAGTTGTCTATATAAGCACCTGCATGTTTTGCTTGGCTGAAATGGGGATCCTGAAGGCAGCAAACATTGATACTCTGAAAAAATGCAGTATTTTGGTTTTTAAACTATACACACTTGAAGAATACAGTTTTCTCCTTCATTGAATTCAGCTTCATCTAACTCTCTCACAAAATAGGTAGAGAGTTATTATTTTAACAGATTGAGAGATCTAGTTCTAATTTTACATTGGGCTAGTACAGCTTTTAAAAAGTGATCCCATCATGACTGTTCACTGCAGCGTTCCGTATGCTGTGGTACATGTACTGTTACTGGTATATGAACCACTTCTAAATGTTAGGCATGCATGAGGCAGTGGCAGAGGCGGCAGCAGCAGCAGGAGCAGCAGTTCCTCACCGCTTGTCTTTAGACACTTGCCAAGGAAACACAACCAGTGTGAACCAGCATAAAGTGTACAGGACTACTGCTGCTTCCATCTGATGTGGGACTGGGCTGAGGAGAAGTGAGGTAAAAACCATAGGAATGATAAACTGGAACATGTCTTGGGTGAGAGAGGATGTAAGCATCCCAGTTTGACATAATGGGATGTGTGTGATAGGAAGCTGAGAAAGACAAGAGTTAGGGACAGGGGATAAGATGCCGTTTCGATGGGATGAGAATGTGTGGTAATAAAATTGGGAAGTGTGTCATATGGATGAGCCCTGCTCTGAGGTAGCGGAATGTGTGACAAGAAGGGGAGGTCAAGGCCAGGGTTTGGAGAAATTGTGCCTGTGCAGGAAGCAGGGAGTTGCTATTGCCAGCCATGTATGGCACCATCTGCCTCTGCCCCCCACCAGTGCTGGCAGTTGAGCAAAGGTCTGTGAACAGCAGGTCTATTGCAGAGCTTTTCTCCTTTTGTAACGACTCCCAGACCTTCCTTGATGCGATGCTGGTTTTCTGGGGGATGATCTTTAAGAGTCCTGCTTGCTTTTTACGCTCCATTGCTTTTTCTACAATCTTTTTCTGCAGGTTTAAAATGCGTTCATCTTTCATAGGCCTTTCACCAGACTGGGACTTTCTTTTCTTTTCTTCTTGCCTGCAAAATCAAAAAGAAGCAAGGAGAAGGTAAAATATTATCAATCCACAGAATAAATCAATCTGAGCATATATTACTTTGATAATAATGAATTTTCTCTTGCTTCTGGGAACCAGCTAGACTCAAAAAAGGTTTAAATCATATAGCTCAATGAATGTGGTATTAACAACTTGCTTCTTGGTGTTTACAGAAGAGCATTACTAAACAATATCGAAAAATTTCTTCCTACAGGCTGCCTTGATGACAATATCTGAAGTATTTCAAGCCTGACATGACATTCTTCAGAGATAACACATGCAAAACCTGTGATAATATTGCAGCTTTTTGCTTGTGAGAACTATGGAGTTTTCCTCATAGGATCATTAGTATTCCTCTCGATTGCTGTATACCTTGGCAAATAGAAGATATTCTTTTATGTGTAATCTTAATGCCCAGATTCAGATAGTATGAAATGGTGATGTATTAATTAAGGTTAGTGGGTCTAGGTGAGCATAAATTGATAGCGTCATGGGCAGCATAAAAGTAAGGCATAAGAGAGAGGTTATTGGATGATCTTCCTTTTTTTCCCTTCTATTGTAGCTACTTTTCTGTCCTCTGGACAGAGAACGTTTTATCTGGTTTTGCTTACTTTCACCCAACTGGCACAATTTACAACTTCTTCGTGTAGGTTACACCGCCTTGCATAGTGGTTCACTTAACATCCAACTTTCTCTTTTATTCAACGTTGCCCTTGAATTTGGCTCAGTATGATCAAGCTGTAGTGTTAATATTATGTCATGAGCAGCTGTGATTCTCCAGCCAAATTCAGAGCTAAAGTAAGTGTCAGATATACCCAAGAATATACATAATTCTGTAATATATTACCAGGTTAGATCTGATGCCTTCTGTCTGCGGGAAGGATAGCTTTGTAAAGGTCCTTCTATATTGCGGTAGTACGACATGACAATTGCTTTTATTGGAAACCAGATTAAGACTCCAAATGACAAAGAGCAGAGTGCACAGGGGCATTGTTCAGCCGGAACTGTAACTGTTATTCTGTCAGTGGCAGCACTAATTTCACAAGCAGGTTGCCCCTTGGAAATGGTTTATGACAGAATTCTTCCCTTATCTCTTGGGTCTTATACCACAGTGTTTTCCGTGTAAGGCACAGTCTACTCACGGAGCTGGAGTAAGGGGAAGAAGGAAGAAGTTCCTTCTGATGCTAAAGCCACCAATTTGCCTTAAAGAGTGTCAAGATTCCAGGGATCCAAACACTTCTTTTGTCTTGGGAGAGATGGCTTTTGTCTGCCTTGTTAACTTCATCTTTGCTAATAGGAAACTCCGTAACAGTAGGTATTCTTCAGAGCAGCCATTCCGGACTAGAGTCCCCAAAATCTTCAGGAACTGGTTGAAAGGGAGATTTGACCTGTGTCACATTCTGAAATGTGACTGTGAACTCCAAATAAGGGGCACAGTTTAGCTTGGCTTCTCATTTCCAGTTGCTTTCCTGAGATACTTCCCGAACCTCTCTGCTGCTTGTGTCATGCTATCTGGTTAGGATAACACTTCCTTATCCTCCTTAATACTGTGACATACTCTGCTACTCTGAGATTAATTTTGAACACTATTCTGTAAATCTAAAAATTATGTACTATCATTTAGTCTAATTGAGAACATGGATTATTTCTATTTGCATTGTAACAAGGCATTGCATTCCAAGGGATATAGGAGAATATAACAATAAGGTTTTATGTAAACACTTGATGATTAAATATTGTCAGTGGGAATAAGCAACAAAACCTTTCATTACATGCAAATCCAGTTTCTTGTAAATACAATTGCATGAAATATAGCAAGAGGTTTAACATCGTGAAGCAGCAGCAGCTGCTTCTGAATTAACATTGTAAATAGTTGCTTATCCTCAGACTAATATTCACTCCTCTTCTACATGAAGTCATGTGCCAGTCATCTACACTATGCCAAAAAGCTGCCAGTCCCATGGATGTTCAGATGCCACACCACATCATAACTGAAACTCAAAGAGGGGAAGGCATGAAAAAAGAAATTTTATAATTCTGTTTTTCTGTGATGGTCAGTTGAAAACTTTCAGGACTCAAGACACAAAAATCTCCTACAATCTCTGTCAGCCCATATCATGTATTTTCTAAGGAAGTAAGATAATAGCCAGTCAGAATGGTGTAGTACACAGTTAGAAAAATCCTCTCCAGATTCAATAGAAAATTATGTGATAATTTATGAAAAAAAATATGCAGAAACCATTTTCATTTTACTTTTAAGTTTACTTACCAACTACTGGTATTGAACAAGGACCTTGAATGAAAACCAACCTTTAAGAATCGTACTAGTTCCTAAAATGTAAGGTCAAATCTTTGGTCCAAAGAGAATTTGTTATTTTTCTTTTCTTTTGGTCTCAGAGAAGAGTCTTCCATCCCTTTGTGAGTCTGCCATAATTAAAAAAATATTGCCTGACCAAAGACTTTGAAAAAATTTGTAATATTTTTGAAGTCCATGTGTATTTGAAATAGTTTAACAAACTCTAGTTTTTGCTTAGTGACCTTGTCAGAAAGTACCTTTTACTGCTGAGGAATGAGATGAGATTCTTGAATGCGCTTATGGAAGTTTTTAGTAGTGTGGGGTGTATGAATAAACTACTTGAAGAAGGAAAAGTAAGGGATTTATGAAAGATTCAACAGGATATGGATATAAAAGCAAACAGTGAAAATTTCTTTATCTACCACTGCTCTCATTCTCTATTCACTTTCTGTGTAAGCTATGTGTACCGTTAACAGCAGAAAGATTTTGGCTCACTATGATGAAGCACACAACAATTCCATCAGTGATGGGTAAAATGTAAGTGTCTTTCTGTTTAAAATAATATTCCAGGCATTGTAAACTGCAGTTGACATCCCATATTTGTTGTCTCAATGATTTCCTTAGTAAAGATAATGAATTTTAAAAATACCTAAGTACTTTTTTACTTCACATTTTACAGATTTGTCATGGAGTCTGGCAGTCCTGCTTCTTCTTACTTACATATCCCTTGTAACTATTTTAATATCTGCCCTGCAATTTTAGCATCTGGCCAAATGGACTCTAGGTCCAGTAGGTCATCCAGTCTATAACTGAAGAAGCAGCAATTCAGTATTAAAGGTTTTCCTGTAGGAAATGAAAACACTTGGAACAGTTGGGTTAGGTCTTCTCAGCTGTGTTTAAAAAATGGGGAATCTGAAGATTTGCACAGAGGATTCCTTCTGAAAACTACATTTTAGTCTTCATTTACATTTTCAAGCTCCAGCTGTACATCAAAAGTATAAGGAGACAGATGTATGACAGCTCTTAACTGACTCAATACTTGCAGGAGATGAAGTAAAATGGCTACTTGACCATTCTAGGCACCAAAATATCAACTTAAACAGCTAGGACTGTATTTATAAGCTCACCTTACAAAACGGAGTCTTGTGCAATAAACACAATTACATTTTTAAAAGCAGAAGTAGGATTGCCTTATAGTGCAATAAACAATTTTTTTTATTTCCTCATACCCTCAGTCTCAGTGATGAGGGCTGTCTGTACTTCACAGTACCTTGCCTTTTTTCTGTCCTGTACTATATAATTCTTAGTTATTGCAGTGAGGAAAATGAATGTATCTAACTGTTAACAGTTTACTGTTAAGGGAGTCATTATTTTGACATTTGAGAACAATACACTATTAGATTGATTACTATTTTGTACTGATGCGAGGGATTTAAGCACTCAAAATCTGACTCCATTCCAAAACAATTAATTTATTAAGCACCTAATCTTAGGAGGGGGAGTGATTGGTATTCATAATAGTGTTTTCTTCATTTGAAATAAAGATTATGAAGCTGTATAATCAAGGTTTATTCACAGAATGGTTGAGGTTGGAAGGGACCTCTAGAGGTCTTCTTGTCCACCTCTACGCTCAAGCAGAGCCACCTAGAGCTGGTTGCTCAGGACCGTGTCCAGATGACTTTTGAATATCTCCAAGGATAGAGACTCCACAACCCTCCTGGGCAACCTATGCCAGTGCTTAGTCACCCTCACAGTAAAAAAAAAAAAGTGTTTCCTGATGTTCAGAAGGAACCTCCCATGTTTCCCCTTGTACCTCTTGTCCTCTCATTGATCACCACTGAGAAAAGCCTGGCTCTATCTTCTTTACAGCCGCTCTTCACATATTTATATTTCTGATCCATCACTGGTGGTAAATTTCCTCCTTCTGTTTCAATGCTAGTGAAGAACGGGTTACCAGCACTAAGAACTGGGAAACAATCTTACTTCCTTATTGCCAAGACATACAGAACCCTAAGTATTTATGAAATTTGTGAAGTTAATGAAATCACAAATATTATGAAGTAATAAACCGATATTGCTAATTGTTCAGCTTTTTTCATTATTCTAGGCTATGTTTTTGAAGACCTGAAGTAACAGCCACACATAGGGATGGCATTGCACGTGTTCCCGTTACATCGTTCCACCTCCATGTGCTGTATGTCCCTTCCCTCAGTTGTGTGCTGCATCACAGAGTTGTGCTGGCAAGGTGTCTTACAGATTCTGGAGGATGCGGCTCCATTCTTCCCTCCTCACCAGAAAGCCTTTGACCTCCTAAGTCAGACCTGGACACTCCAGGGAATGCCTGCTTTAAGGAGCTTGCTCTACTTTGGAAGGACCGTCACAGTCATCCATCCATAACCCTCCCTTCTCCTTGTTCTCTTCTGCCTCCGCATAACCAGCCTTCCCCCTTGTCCTGCCATGACTGTCTTCACACTATTTCCACCTCTCCCCAGTTCGGGCCAAGAGAGAGGTGTTACACTGGTGTGTGGCCAATGTGCCTTGTCAGGGAGGGGTTTGAGCACTGGCAAGTGGCAGGGAGAGAAAGGAGTGCTTTGCCATCTTGGCAAACACACCATCGTTTGTAATCCAGTGCTGGGAGCCCAGCATGGTACACCATTGCCACAGTGTGACATGAGGATGTGGTAAACTTTTGTGTTGGTGGGAACCTCTGCATCTTGTTCCTCATAACAATTTTCTGATTCTTCTTCCTCATCTACAAGGTAGTCAAGGAGGCTTACTGTCAGTTCAGAGTGTTGCCCTGGAACAGCAGCTGCTGCCTTCATGTGGATGTTGCCCTGACTTGGAGAGGGGACGAGGCCTGGGCAGCAGGCACTGTCATGTCACTTGAAAATGAGCAGGAAAACAAACAAGGCAGGAACATGAGAGAGAACAGAAGTAAGGCTGGCTTCTGTGTACCTTACATAGGTGCCAGTGGTTGGTGGGAGCATGGATGTGCTACTGTCATCTATGTGAGACAAACAAAAGGATAGTGTGGTGTTCCTTAGACGGGCCTGTAGAGAAGCCAGGAATTGAGAATGCGAAGTTTTGTGAGATAACTTTCCTCTGGACAGCTTTAAAACAAATGAATGATGAGAGCATGCAATCCCAAGACCACATTAAATCCAACCCAAAGTTACTCCCCCCAAACCACAGATAATGTGGATGGAGGGAGCCTCAGCACCAGCTGTTTTGATCCATTGCTTGGTTTCTAGTGCATTAAATCACTTGCAGTAATAGATGTAGCCCCACTGGAATGAAAGGGAATTGTACCTGAGGTATACAGACAGATAACTTTAGTACCTTATCCTGTATTCAAACACTTATAAATCTTTTGGTGCTAATATTCAAAAGCTGAGAACTCAAATGTATGTCCACTTCATATGCCAGTGATGATTTTCAAACTGTGTGAAATTCTAGCAATTAAAGGGATGTCCTGTGTACACACTTAATTGATTCTTAAGTGTTCTGTGAGCACTCACAAAGCCACTGCTGTGATGGATGTCATGGCTTGCAGTCTAATAAAGGCTGATGTCTCTGTAATTTTTTATGTTCTGCTTCCTATTTTGTTTAATATAGCTCATTATATGCTTGCTCAATGTGCTTCTTTTGTGTTGATGTATGTCTGTTTGTAAATGATATTGAAAGGAACCTGCTTGGTAGGGACCCAATTAAACTCCTGCTGACACTAACTAAAGCACATTTGTTCAGCAAAGCTTAGCCACCATACTTTAGCTAATTAGCAGTAGCCTTCAACGTAATGCAATTTAAGATACAACATGTAATTTTATATTGATGCATAAGGCTATCTTATGAAGACTATTGGTAACATATGCTATTCTATGTCTATAATTATGAATTCATTCTGTAAACATAACATTTGCCTTTTACATCTCCTGTGCAGTGTATCAATAATACAACCCAAGTGATTAATGATTCACATTGACTTGATAGATATTTCAGGATTCAAGATCTGTAAATCAGGTTTAACACACAAAGCCTATAGTTTGTTTAGAGAGAAATAAAAGCTGCAGCAAAGTGTCTAGCATTTATAAGTAGGACGTACTTCTATATTAACAGAAATAACACCATAGATTTGCATTCTAGATGAAAATGCATTAAATACACTCCCAAAGAACAACATTTCTGGTACACTTTGATGATGCCTCTTTATAGTAGATGCTCCCAAGTTACGTACATAGATTGCCTGGGAGACATGAATGGAAATGTCTTATAACATCTATAATGAAACTTTATATTTTCTTTATTTGGAGAACAAACAGGGCTTCATTAAAATTACAGTATTACTTATCATGAATCTGACTAGAAGCTTGCAAATGAAGTGTTTAATTTCGTTTGGATTCTACCATCTTTGGCATGTTGGTCTGGTCTAAAAAACATTTCAGAAGTCAGGACAAAAAGCAAATCAAAGTTAGCTTCTCATTCAAGCATAGCTTTTTTCAGGATCAGAACAGTTCTAGATCTGTATTAAGCCAAAGAGTCTATTTTAAAGAAACCCAGCACTATGCAAAACTCACAGACTGCACATCTAGCATAACAAACAATTCTTTAAGTAGTTACTAGTGAAATAGGCTTTCTATAGTATACAAGTTCTTAATGTCTAGTTTGCATCTCTAGTGGAAACGAGTGGCTTGAGTTGCTCCCACAGGCTTTCACAACACTGAATTTTTAGCAATGAATATATTTCCAGCTCCAACTCCATTTCAGGTTCTTTAGTCTTAAAATCTTTTGTCAATATATGCCATAGAAGGGAGGGTCACTGATCTATGCAGTCAGTCCACTGCAGCTGCAGTTATTGATTCATTAAACTCATTAAACTATTTTCTTCAGTACTAACATAGAAAAACCCCAGGTTTTGGACATTAACTGTCATCAACAAGCCAAATTAGAACTGGGACTAATGAAAACTAGTTGAATGAATACATCAATACTATGTATTGTACTATGTACTGCCTTCTATAATTGAGATTTAGTCCCGGAAGATAAATCAGTAACATCAGTTTAACTCCAAGAAGCCACCTTCGGTATCACAGCAATAAACACGCATCTAAGACATGTCTTAAGACGTGTGCTTTTAACCTGGTAGAATATGTCTTCAGAATGTTAGCCTGAACATCTGTTTGCAAAATAAATATGACAAGACAGGGACTAAACTCTCAAACTCAGAAAAGGGAAAAGGTTGAAAGACAACTTGCAAGAAAACAATGGCAAATCGTCAAGATGCAGTAAAAATGGCATAAGATCAAGAGGTGTGCCATATTTTACACTTTTACACAGGCTTTCTTCCTGCTCAGCTTTATTTCTAAATAGCTTTAAATTAGTTTTTAAACTCTTTGTGGAAGGCACCTGTCTTCTGCATATGTGAAGCATCTATGATGGTTATGGATCCTTTATGACAATGAATAATAAATATGGTAATGAATAATAAATATGAATAATGAATACAAAATTTGATCAGAGAGCCTGTAAGCAAAGATTTTTCTCTTTGATCTACTGCTATAATATATTTAATTTATAACTGATTATTGTTATCAGAAAATCTCCTTCCTAAAATACTTTTAACTTCTAAAATAGGGCCACATAACGAATGAAGTTCAGGGAAGAAAACTATAGCCCTAATGTATTCATTTAGATGAAAATGAGAAACCACTTTAAGTAGCAAGCTGTAATGATTCTAATAGCATCAAATTAGTTCTGATTAGCTGAAAAGGAACAGAAGAAAGGCAGAACTTCTTTCTCAATATATAATATTGGCTCTGAATCCTGGGGCAATACTGTCAACACTAGCCTACAGAGTGTCTTCAACAATAAATTCAAAATGATGAAAAAGATTTGTTAAATCTGATGCAAATTATTTTCAAGAATAAAAAGGAAATTCTGGCCCCAGTGTAATCCTTGACAGAAGTCATATTGATTTATAAAAGGACAGTATTTTGCTCTCTACTTGTTTTTCTGCTCAAAGGGCTAGCAAAATATTAACAAAGTTGCAATGTCTTAAATGTCACATGCTGTTTTATACTGACTTTAAAGCAGCTGCTCGTCCAAGTTCTGCTCTGAACAGGGAAATCTGGTCCAGTTTGTCTAGAAGAAGTTGTTCCTTAGCTTGTTTTTCATGAATTATCTGGTCTCTCTTCTCTTCCTCTGCTGCCTTCTGTGCTTCTCTGAGTAGAGCGAGGCGTTCACGTAGTTCCACTATTGACATTTCACAAATTAAACCATGTCCACCAGTCTAGAGAACATGAAATATAGGTTTAAATAACACTGTAAATACCAAGGGGACAGTACATGAGTAAAACTAGAATATTTTGATTGTGTGCCAAATCATGCTGAATATATTTCGACTTCAAAAAAGATAGGGATGGCCCTAACCTGTTATTTACAAGCTGTTTTTAGAGTGTAGAGTATATCTTTTGTATGTGTAAAAACACAAAGATCATAAAACATTTCATGAAAAAGTATTGAAATACACAGTAGATTAATCACAAACACAAAGTATTTGCTATCAAAAAAAAATCTAGTTGACTTATCTTTTAATTTTATTAGACTTTTGAAGTTTTAAAATGTGTAAAACTGCATTTTTTTTAATTTGTAAAACCAGAACAGACTTTACACTAAAAAATATATGCATGTTTTCCATGTACCTATTTCTAAGGTATGGATTTGACCTATGATGGCATCTACCATTTTTATCTGAAAAGACTAGGACTAAACAATGCTTTGTACCCAGGAAATTCAGATCTGAACGCCCAAAGTTAAAATTTACAAACCTGGATGTTTAATGCAGGCTTTTTAAAATCCACTTTGCAATGACAGTGATAATGATCCTGATTCTGAGATGTAATGAGAGACTTCTGCACCTTAGTTTGCATACAAAGACAGATAATTTCTAAACAGATTTGTGAACACTTGAAGTTTTTGGCTCTTGCTCTTACAGATACTCTTCCTTTCCCTATGTCTACACATATATACATATGTGTATATGGAAAATGTGCATAAACCCACACAAATACTGAGCTTCTGTGTAGCTTTCTTTGCAAAATTTTATCCATTTCATACCAACTAATATTCTTTTGTTTATCTTGACATAGTTTTGGTACCCGTCTTTGGTATGTTACAATGGAATATATGGGTGCAGGAAGTCAAGATGCTAACCTGGCTCTTGCTATACAGTTGTATAACATTAAGAGTGAAACACTGGTTAGAATTTAGTTCCATAGAACTAGTGACAGAAAATTAATAACAAAGTTAGGAAATAAAGGGTGGGGGTGGGGTGTGGGGGGTGTGGGGGGTGGAATCCAAAAGAACAACCACTCCTCCAAATTGTAGTTCTCAGACTGAAACTAAGTGGTAATTATAAACATATGTAAGTAAAACTCATCACAATGCTTTTAATGGAAAGAAATTATGCAGTTAAAGAGCCTTCGACTTTTCAAGCAATCCTTTTCAGTAGGAAAAAAAAGCCCTTGTACTGAATACTGATTGAGTTGTCGACAGAATAGTAGTCGCCTTTCTGCATTTAAGCTTTTCACTAAACAAAACATGAAGGGGAAGGAAAAAAAACCACAAGTAAAGAGAAGGATGCTCTGTCATAGATAGGTGTTCAGACTGTCAGTTTGGCTGCAAGAATTGACCTGGGTCCAGTCCCTCTCCTCTGGTCTGGGATGCCATCTAAGCAGTCTAATCATGTACTCATCCTCCAGTGATCATTCTCTGGCTCTTCAGAGCAGTGGGTCCATGAAATAGGGGGAAAGCCAAGAGAGATGAAGAAAACAGTAAGGTAGGTTGGGGGGGCAAGGGCAATAAAACCACAAAATAAGAGTACAGCAAATAACCAGGCTTGGCTCTCTGCTGCTACAACATTGGTGCTTAAGAGGGACTATTATGGAGTCAGTCTAGAGAATCTAATGATACAAGCTTGTCAGTGAAGGAGAACGTGTCTTGTATGCCCAGCCCTGGGGACTCCCCCAAGAGACTCTCCTGCAGTTTTGGTCCCCATAGCTTCTCTTTCTGAAGCTTCAAAAGCTGAGTCAGTAAGAAGCGATCATCACTGTTTTTTCACCTAAAGTCTGACTCTTCAGTTTTGGCTCAGTGGTTTCTGCTTCCACATGTGCACCAAACACAACCTAAACAATGGTCACCAGTAGCATCAGTAGAAGACTGATAAAAGACTTCAATATTAAGCAGTATTTATTTTTGCATCTCTGAAAAGTGTGTACTACCATAGGTTACTGAAACGGTAAATGATTATTTATTTCCTTCTCAGATTTCAATTTAGAGTGAATTTGCAAATAGCAAGTGCTATAATACCTTGCCTCTAATTTAAACTAGTCAATGATGTCAAGTTGTATTCAAAGGAAGTGAAAGGAGAATGTTTTCCAACGGGTCATATATACCAGTCATAGTGCTTCACCATGGCAAGCAGACACCGACAAGGTCTAGGAAAGACAATTTCATAGAAACACAGAATGGTAGAGGCTGAATATTTTGAGTGTCTGCATTTCAAAAATATTCAGTGAAGACAATGAAGTGGTTCCTAAAATATGAAAAGTCCTATACTTGTGCAGTAGATAATGATGGTGTTCAAACAACTTAAGTGCCATCAAGAGAAGAACTGGAGTACTTTAAAAATTATGCGAATGAATGAGAATTTTACGGACACATACTTAATTTTACTAAGCCTGAAAAAGCTTTTTGTAGAAAGAAAAAAACAGGGCAAGCTATCACTAAAAGGGTGGTAATTCACTCCGAGTGCTATTGTAATAGTGATTATAAGGGAGCTGTGAAGTTGAGATATATAATAACAAACAGTATTCAGTGGAAGCTCTATGTGAGGATTGATAGCCACTGTAAGTGGTAGTCCTGGTTTGAGCGACACAGGATTAATTTCTCTTTCAGTAATTTTACTTTGCAGTAAGGTCTCTTCTAATGCCTGGGAAAACTGCATTTTTTAGAAGACTCTAGTATCTGAATTTGTGAAAATATTTACTTTATAGCTAGCTATTGTATGTGGGTTTCAAGGTCTTAGTGTTTTGAGCTAGCCAGGTGTGGGGATGAGGAGGAGCGAGACTCAAGCACTTGACCCAAGCTGGCCAACAGGGTTATTTCATACCATGAATGTCACATTCAATATAAATTTGAAACTGAGTTCTCTCTTTTCCTTGATGGCTGCGATCCTGAGAACGTCTTGCCCCGGTGCCGGACCCCTGAGGCCTTCCCTTCCTCCCAAAGCCATAGCGCTCGCAGTGTCTGACATTTGCTGTCCGCTGCTGGGAGTGCACAGCTTCTTACCAATATAATTGGCTGAGTATAATCCCTGTATATCAATATTTGTCCCTTAGTATTATGAACGTTAATTATTTAGTCTTATTCCAATAAATTTGTTTATATTTCAACCCTTGGGTTTTCTTGCTTTTTCCTGATTCCTCTTCCTGGGTGGGGAGGGGTCATCAGGTGATAGAATAATTGTCTAAATGATAATAAATTGTTGTGGATTTCTGAAACCATAACAGTGGCAATGGAATGAACTAGGTTCAAAAATAAGAAAGTACTGACATTCCCGTCATTTTCCTGAATGAGAGTCTGCACCATTGTACATAAGTTGTTGTGATTGAAGAAGTAATGACATTTCCACATCCGACTACATCATACCCTTGTGTCTTTGCAGCCTATATCTTGTGACTGAATCATCTGGGAAACAAATGTGCAGTGAGACCAGCTAAGGGCTCTGTTTAGGGTTGACACCATGAGCAACTCTATGCGAAGCAGTAAAAGACTTAAAGATTGGAGTACCTCTTGGCATTTCCACGCAGACAGTTTACATTATCTGTGGTGTACAATAATTCTTTGTATTCCTTACTTTTCCCCCTGCTTTTTCCTTTGTTGTTCAGTAGTATTTCTCCACAAATGGGTGGAGTGAGTCTGGGTTTGAAAAAGGAGAATTGCTGCCTTTGGCTGGAACAGAAGTGGAGAAGTGATGGCAGCAGCCATAAAAGCAAGCAAAGAGAGTAAAGGACGATGGGACATCTGGGGAGCTGAATTTATTCTTGTTCACTTGCTTCACACTTTGAGATTAAATGTGCTCTAAAATCTGAGAAATGAGATGAGGGATTTGTCTGGTGGTTGCAAAGATAGTAGGTAGCTTTGGAATCAATGAATGGCTCAGTTCTGTTCAGAGGAGCAGGAGATAAAACCAAAGCATTGTACTAAGTGTTCCAACAGCCCTTTGGAAGGAAAACCTGTTCCTTCTGTATGGTTTCTGCAGACTAGCCATGAGTATTTTTTAATGTGTGATCTTCACTTGAATACTCATGAAAGGAAAGAAAAACACCAAAAGGATTATATTTAAAATTGATAGTGGAATTTTATATTATTCTATGGTATTATTCTTTCAATGTGGATAAGACAAGTAGAAGAAGTATTACTCTGCTTCTGACTTAGTTGTAAGATAAGAGATTTCTGGATGTCTGGAAATTCTGCAAAAGTGGGCATTGCAAAGCCCAATCTCAAGCAATCTCAGTTGTTATGTTGCAATAGTAAGTCCAAGAAGTTTGAGATACATTTACTGTAGACTTAACCACACACACACAAGTTATTTCCACAGTACATGCATAACAGCTCAGCAGGTTTTGGGTTGACAATCTCTTTCATACACCTGAATGTTAACAGTTTTGACAGCAGAGGAAATTAATTTTGCTAATTACTATGGCAATCACCGCTGCAGTACGAACAACTGTACATCAGTCCAAATTTCACGTTCATTCAGTCCTTACCCAAGACTGACAAATCTGTGCATTTGTGAAGATATCTTTTTGAAAGATATTGGGAAACCCAAATCCTATTGGCAAAATTCAAAGAAAGTTCAAGGGGACTAAGATTTCACGTACCATCAGAATATTCTTCCTGGTAACATTTTCATTTTATGAACTTTGTGAAAGTTCCAGTTCAGATCTAACCTTTGTGTCATGGGGTCACTGTACTTAATGCTATGCATCCAGACTGTGATATATCTACATACAGTACACAATTCCTCTGAATGCATGAAACATATACAATATACCTTTATGTAAAGACAGTAGGTTTTCCTTTTAAGCTTACCTCAGTTAAATCAACAAACTTGTGTCTGAGGCTTGGTAAAGACTCAATAGCTCGTATTTGTTGAATTAGTTCATATCTTTTCCTAAGCTTCTCCTCCTCTTCTTCTAAAGCTTGTCGAAGAAGTTCTCGATTTTCTTCACAAACTTCCTGAACTGAAAGAAAAGAACTAATCTCTGTTAGCTGGCTGCATATTTTAACAAGTACTCCATCTGGAGGAAAATTCATAAGCATTTGTGAATAATGATAACAATACTGATCTAAAGGTACTTGAGGGAACAGTCTGGCATTGGTAGGAGGAATGATTAGAGAAATAAATGAGTACTTCCCACCTCCACTATCTATTATTCTATTCAACACATAAACATACTGTATACATACATAAAGTAGACACTTTGAATTACTGCTTTGTAATTTCTGTTCTAATTAGTGCACAGTTTCATTATTTAATAGAAGGATATTATACAATAGCAAATATCCATAGTTTTTCAAGCTATATATATATATCTCTATATGATAGAAATCATTCAACTGCAAAGGCTGGTAGGCTTTGCTGGGCCATTCCAGAGTTGCTAACACCCTCTGCCCCTCTCAACCCTTACTGATACAAGTATGGAGATACACAAGCAGAGAAAAGGCTGCTCACCAAAATATGCACAACTAGAGGTAGCCTGTTTATACAGTAGATGTTAACATGGCGTTGCATTGGAATATGCACAGCCATGCCCATCAGAACAGCCTTCATTAGCTAATTCATTAACTGAAGAATTTTCTTCAAGAATAATGGAGGACGAGTAACATTATTTCCCTTCATCCTAATGACTGGTCTGTCTTGGAGGTGGTACATCCTTCTCCTTTGTGATACTGTCCTTCTAGGAGATGACTTTTCTGTCCTTAGCTAGTCGTCTTCTCTGCACTATCTTCTCTGGAGAAGGCTCTTCTCTGGAGCCATGATTCTTTCACAGTGGTTGCTAGGCAAATCCTCTCTTAATGATATGAATCACAAGAATCTGAGCTTCATAACTTGATTTGATAAAAAGTACAGTCATTCACATATGCTACTTTTAGATGGAAGGGAAACTAGTTGCAGAACATTAATGCTGTATTTCTCCCTTTTAAACAAAGAGTAATTCCCATGAACAGTAGCTTAGAATTTCTGATCTACCCATTACCAACTTATTCCTGGAATTCATATTCATGCATTCATGGAAACATATAGCCTGGATCTTTCCCTCAATTTCCCTTTCCTTACTGTAAAAATTGTAATTGGCCCACTAAAATAAAGTAATTTCGTGACATTTGGCATGATATCTCCTTTTTTTTTTTTTTCTGGCAATATATAAATACCTATCTGCTGTTTGTATTTCTGGAGCTTTATTTTTGCTTGCTTTGCATTCTTGTGTCCTTCCACGACCTGCTCCACCAGCTCTCTCATTTCTTTCTGTTCCTGTAGACGTTTCTCTGCATACTGGTGCATCAGTTCTGCTTTCTAAATCCCAAACAAACAGGTAATAAGATTCCTGATAACTGGTGATCTGAGAGCCTCAATTCATTGAAATAATGCAAGGACAAATGGATTCAAAGTATTAGATCATCCACAAAAGTAGCAAAAGACATTGGCGGGGGACAACACAGAGACACAGATTTAAGCTCCCCTCTCTATGTTTTATTTACCTACAACAGCCCTCCATAACATTTGCACTGCTATTTTCCAGGATTCCCTCCCACATGTTTCTAAAAGCCGACAAAAAAAGCCATCTCTGGATCTGGTTGTGAGATACCGAGCAGCCTGCCAATTTAATACACAGCTGATTATTTGTCTGCAGGATCTTCTTGGGCCTAAGTCATATCTCTGTAACATACAAAAGTCCACTTTTGGCTATCATGTTTCTTTCTTTGTCAGAGGAAATGAACAGGAAGCAGGAAACTGGATTTTCCCAGACTACCTTCCTTACTGTATTTTCTGCTTTAGATGGAAGACTAGCATTTTAAAAGAAGGAGCAGGGTCGGCATGACAGCTGTTGGTGAATGAGGAATTGGTGCTCAGTATTCTGGAGATCTCCATATGGATGAAGTTCCCTGCTGGCATCTGTTGGCAAGCCAAGGGAGCTGCCTGGAATTGGTCAGGTTAGAGCAAGTCTGATGTGCACATCCCCAAATCTATACATACTGGAACATTTCTGTTAACAAAACACTTATGCTCTGGAAGTGAGGTGAATATAATAATTACAAAAATTTTGGAGTGAGTGTGAGCCATCACACTATGCTCAGTTGTACGTAGTAGGGTTCACTTTAAGTTCTTGCTACAGCTTGTCTAAACAGACATGAAGATTCAATGCCAAAAAAGTTGAAAGATTTTTTTAAAGGACAGAGAAGAAACTCATTAAGCAAATTTCCCTTTTGCAGTGTGGCCTTTATGAAAATCTTGTACATTCATGGTTCCATCTTATGTTGCTGAGACACTGCAGAGACATCTGTGAGAGGTGGCCAAGAGAAACGTACTGGCTGGCCTACAGGACATAGCAGCAAACTGGGCTAATAGAAAAGCCTGTGATAGTGACCATGAAAAATTTAAAATCTATATTATTATTTATTTCTTGATCACTTGTTTAGTTTCTAGGAAAAGCACTTGAAAAATTTAATGTGAGTTTGGGAAAAAAATGAAAAGATCTAGCAATGTTTTTGGGACACTGTGATTTGCCAGATTGGAAACTGTTTGAAAATACTTCTTGGCAGAAATATTAATTTTTCCATATATATAGATCCAGAGAGGGTTCTCTGCCTGACTCTTCCCATAAGAGAGATCTAGGCATGTCAGACAATATGAAGTAAATTGAATTATCTCAGTTTAAGAAAACAATTTATTTCGTATTTGTGGCTCTCATTTTAACAAGACAATGAAATTAGTCATATATTGGTGATTTCATTGCAAATGGTGCTTAGTATATCAGTATATGTTCAAAAAGGATATGCACAATGCCATGAATATAGGGGAGAATGCTTTAACCTTCTGTTTTATTCAATTTACTTCGTAAGTGTTATCACTCAAATCAAACACTTGTAGAACTACTTTAATGTATCAGCATTGTCTGGAAGTTATAGCACTATTTTTCCATTGTTTGTAGATTCCAGTGAGTAAAGACACTGTATGGAACACCTTATAGTAGGTATCACCTGTGGTATGCTTTGCACTGATTGAACGTAAGCAAAATTTGAGCTACATTGTATGTAGTACCTTTTCTCTCATTAGATCAGCTTTCTTCTTATTTTCTTGAATTACATTCTGATGGGCTAGAACTGCCTCTTCATGACTTAGTTTCCCTTGAAGCCTCCTACACTCTATTTCAGCCAGCTGCTCTTTCAAATCTTTTCCACGCATCTGTTTTTGCCATTCCAAGAATTCAGATGGGTCTCCAGCCCCTCGTAGCAAATTTTCAATTCTGCAAGACAGAAAAAAAGAGTATACTATTCTAGGGACCTGGCTCTGCAGCCCGGCCTTGGTTTGTAAAACATTTATTGTAGTTTGTTGTGATATAAGGTATTTGATCTCTGCAGAGAAAAAGGGCAGTCATCACAAAGTTATTTCACAGGTATATTTTAACTCCAGTCTAAGAGGTGTTCCTGCTATGTGAAAAGCTTGGGAAAACGAGGCTGGAAGAAAGTGTATGAGGGCATGGAACTGAAAGTTTTCAGTAAAACAAAGCCCCAAGAGAGGGCAAACTTTAGCTATGTATGGATTCTCCTAAGGAGCAAGGAGAATCAGGCTGAAGGTGTACACATTTTCTCAGAGGATTACTTTGCTCAGAGGTAGAAAGAACAAATACCTTTTCTCTTTGGCAATCTTCTCGGCCACTTTAACACAGAGAACTAAAAAAAAAATTATTCTTAGTTCTATTTCTGTTTTGTATTTTGTCAATTAAATAATATTGCTGTAATGAGGCAAAGAAATATTCAGCTATTAAGCAAAACCACATTCTTATTTTTTGTGCTCAACTGAGAGAGAAAAGCATAGCAAAGCCCTGGGGCAGGCCCATCAAAGTCCTGCAGCAGAGGATTGAATGAGCCAAGAATTAGGGCAGAGAGACAAAAATGCAGTGAATTGTGCCTTACTGCTGCTCCCCAATGCATATATATATATGTATCTGTTGTGTGTTAAATGCAGCTGAAGACTAAAACTCTATATAAAATAGTGTAAAGTTATGGGGAAAATCTGTTCCTTTGCTGAGTGGAACAGAACTCTCTCAGACAGAGTGAACAGTATCAAATTTAATATAAAAGAACCTCAATACATACATACATAGCTGATAACAGAAGCTGAATGGTGCATAATATCTTACTGCTAAAATCCTGATCCATGTAGAAAAATTTGCTAGGTCCAAAGACCAAATCCAACCTTAGACACTCATTCTGGGATTTAAAATGCTACCAGTGTTTAGTGCTTAGCCTGCTAAGTCAGGTGGATTAGAAATAATACTAAATCAAGATGACATGATATAGATTTTATTTTTGTTAAATTATTCGTGAAAATGTTCTGTAATTCCAGTTAGAATACAACCTGCAGTGGCCTTCCAGGAGTCACCCTCTCCCTAGTTATGTCTACTGAAAACCTCTGCTACTGAATAAGGATTCTTTATGTCAGAGGAATCCTTATGTCAGGATTCCTTAGAGCCCTAAGTGCACCAAAGGACCTGCAACCTCTTATTCCCCACCCCTGCCTAGCATTCAGTTTCTTGTGTTCAAAGACAGCTTTGTTGCAGTGCAACCGAATAACATTGGATCAGACTGGAGTGAAAAGAACTCTGTGAGGAAGGGCTATGAAAAGTCCTGTTTTGTGTGCAGAGTTTCTTCCTGGGAGCCACATTTAAGCTGATTTGAACAGCCTTTGTCCTTGCGTAAGCTACGCTGCAGGTATGCCTGCACCTAGGCTTGTACCTTGTTGACCCTGCCTTGTTTACTTGGCTTCCTGGGTTGACCTCAGCCCTGACTTGTCACTACGGACTCATCTAGCAATCACTGGACTGTTCTCTGACCCTGCTGTCACTGGATCCGCTCTGCTGCCTTGCCAGGGTACTGTGGAACTGAGCTGCTGTCAATGAGGACATTGTCCCTACATGCCTTGCTGTCACCCTCAGCTCCTGGCTTATCTTGCCAGGAGAGCAGCACACACTCTTAGTCCTCCATATCTTACTGTGACAGAAATGGATAGGTACTTTTATAGACATATAAACAAGTTCAAGTATCAAATTTGGCATGTAGTTGACCACAAACCATCGAAGAAAATGAAATGATTTGGCTTAATATACATGCATCTTTGGCTTAATATTTGGCTTAATATACACGCATCTTTTATAATGGACACAGAAATAGATGTGTATTTGTGTCATTATTTATTTTTGAGAATTGGAATAAATATAAAAAGTGATCCTTATTGGACTTTGCAGGTGCACACTAGCCAAAGTGCTCAGTCGGCACACAGTCACACCATATAGCATCTACAGTAAAACAATGACGTTACTGTAAACTTTCATTTCAGTCTACTTTTCTCTTTATTTGTCAACCGTCTTTATAGAATATCTTCCTAATGCCTTAAAACAGATCCATTATTTTAGTTTACCTGGAGTCTCCTGTGCAACCTGTTGTAGGTGACCCTGCTCTGGCAGGGGGGTTGGACTAGAGATCTCCAGAGGTCCCTTCCAACCCTGACCATTCTGCGATTCTGTGATTCTGTGAGTTTACTTAATTATTTTAAGTGTGGTTAATTATTGCATATCCAGGGATGCGAAAAGTAATCTGAGAAAAAAACGTGATTATACCTCTCGAGCTCCTGTTCCATTTTCCGCTGATAGAGGGCACCCTCTCTTAAAATAGCCGCAGCATTTAATTTAATAGGTATATTGTCAATCTGTCAGGAAAGGGAATGTATAAACTGTAGTTAGCAATGTAAACCATAAAACAGAGTATAAAAAAATTTCAATGGGTTAAATAAATCGACCTAAGACAGCATAAATTTTGCTTAAAGCATTCATCTAGCATTAATCTGACATTCACAATGAAATTGCATGCTGTTCATAAACCACTCAAGCTGCTTAAGAAATCAGCAAAGTCCCCCAAGTGGATTATAAATTTGTAATCACTCTTGGACCATGTAAAATCCCACAGAATGTGTTCACTTCCTTTCCTTTTTTTCAGTGCTCATATACATAGCGTGCAGGGATTCCGTCTGCTTTGGATGAAGAAAATAAACTGTTTCTCTAAAAGATGATAAGTTAGCCAAAACCATCAAAGTAAAACATAAGCAGTACCTCTCATAGGAATGTCTCAGAAGTGTTTTACAAATGATCACTATTATAACTTCAAAATGTTTCTAAGACAACTGGCATCACCAATTGCTATATCTATTTTCTAGATAGTAGAAGTGAAGTACAGCTCTCGGTGACTTTCAGGCCTCATGGTGTAACTTGGACTAGATCCTGTGGCTGCTTTGCAGTTCTTCAAAGTATTGCCTTAGGACTAACTCCCAGACAACCTCTAAATACTGAGGGAGGAAAGGAACAACCTCTCTGCCAGTTAAAAACGTTCCCTGCACAAGTAGGCTATTCAGAATAAAATTATCACCTTTGCAGACACATAGAATAGACCTGATCTGAACCGAAGCAAAGCAGTGCTGGTCGGATAACAACTGGGATCATTCCTGCAGAAAACAAAGCTTATTTATCAGACATTTGACCTCAATCCAGACAAGTTCTGTGTTCAGAATCCAAACATGTATTTAAATTCCAAATTAACAGCTTAATGAGTAGCTGAGAAACAGATGCACAGAATCACTCAAGCTATACACTGCAAATATTGTACGCACAAATAGGTACTGCAGTCACCTGGAATACATAAGCTACCTGGGAAAAGGATGTTTTATAATTGATATTAATTAGGTATGTTGAGTATAACAACCACATACTATCACCTAGAAAGTCACTAAGTAGAATTACTGTGTTTTCCACATAGATGCACATTTAAATGGACAAAAATTAATTACCTGTTTCTCGACAAAGTGATGATAACTTGAAGAATTTAGGAAAAGAACCCAAACCAATGTATTTTATTTCTTTTGTTTGACTCACTATACTTACTCTTCTTAATGGCTAATTATGTCCTTCCTTACTTTTGGTCTACTTCTCAATTGCTCTCAAAGTCTTCTGCATTATATGAACATTCCTTCCCCAGCCTGTAGATTACACACTATACTGTGTATAAAATGTCTACTTAGAGTAGACATTTTCTCTAGCACGTGTAGAAATTTTCATATTTTTGGCAATTGCCTGTGTATACAGATTTCTTGTTCTGTATTTACTAACTATAATTTGGATAGAAAACTCAACCAAGAATGATTATGCAAATACCTTTAACTTCAATTTCCCAGTTTATTAACAGAAATATGACTGTATGATGATGAAACAGAAATATGACAGCCCATAGAGTCAAAATAACTAGGACTCCCAAGATATGCAGACAGGTATAAGTAAAATAACTGAATAGATTCTTCTATGTCATGTGGCATCAAGGAAGTTTTGAATTTTACTCATTCTCTTCCTGTCCTGAAATATCTTCCCTTTTTTCAGGAAGGCACACAGCGAGTTCACTACCCTGGGCTTCAGGAGAGCAGACTTTGGCCTCTTGAGGGATCTGCTTGGCAGAGTACAGTGGGATAAAGCTCTGGAGGGAAGAGGGGCCCAAGGAAGCTGGTTAATATTCAAGGATCACCTCCTCCAAGCTCAGGAGCAATGCATCCCAACAAAGTGGAAGTCAGGCAAAAATGCTAGGAGGCCTGCATGGATGAGCAAGGAGCTCCTGGAGAAACTCATACTCAAAAAGGAGGCCTACAGAAGGTGGAAGCAAGGACAGCTATCCTGGAAGGAATACAGAGAAATTGTCTGAGCAGCCAGGGATCAGGTTAGGAAAGCTAAAGCCCACGTAGAATTAAATCTGGCCAGGGATGTGAAAGGCAACAAGAAAAGCTTCTATAGGTATGTCAGTCACAAAAGGAAGACTAGGGAAAATGTGGGCCCTCTCCATAAGGAAGCAGGAGACCTGGTCACCATGAGGAAGCAGGATACCTGGTCACCTGGGATATGGACAGGTCTGAGGTACTCAACAACTTTTTTGCCTCGCTTCACCAGCAAGTGAAGAAGCCACACCACCCAAGTCACGGAAGGCAAAGGCAGGGACCAGGAGAATAAGGAACTGCCCACTGTAGGAGAAGACCAGTTTTGAGACCACCTGAGGAACCTGAAAGTGAACAAGTCCATGGGACCTGATGAAATGCATCCGTGAGTCCTGAGAGAACTGGCGGATGAAGTTGCCAAGCCACTATCCATCATATTTGAGAAGTCGTGGCAGTCCAGTGAAGTTCCCACTGACTGGAAAAGGGGAAACGTAACCCCCATTTTTAAAAAGGAAAAAAAGGAAGACCTGGGGAACTACAGGCCAGTCAGTGTCCTCTGTGCCCGGCAAGATCATGGAGCTGATCCTCCTGGAAACTCTGTTAAGGCACATGGAAAATAAGAAGGTGATTGGTGACAGTCAACATGGCTTCACTAAGGGCAAATCATGCCTGACAGATTTGGTGGCCTGCTACGATGATGTTACAGCATTGGTGGATAAGGGAAGAGAAACTGACATCATCTACCTGGACTTGTGCAAAGCATTTGACTCTGCCCCACCCAACATCCTCATCTCTAAATTGAAGAGACATGGATTTGACAGATGGACCACTCAGTGGATAAGGAATTGGCTGAATGGCCACACTCAAAAGAGTTGCGGTCAACAGCTCAATGTCCAAGTAGTGACCAGTGATGAGTGGTGTTCCTCAGGCGTCGGTACTGGGACTGGTACTGATTAACGTCTTTGTTGGCAACATGGACAGTGGGACTGAGTGCACCCTCAGCAAGTTTGCTGATGACAACAAGTTGTGTAGTGTGGTCGACACACCGGAGGGGAGGGATGCCATCCAGAGGGACCTTCACAGGCTTGAGAGGTGGCCCTGTGTGAACTTCGTGAAATTCAACAAAGCCAAGTGCAAGGTCCTGCACCTGGGTCAGGGAAATCCCAAGCACAAATACAGGCTTGGTGGAGAATGGATTGAGAGCAGCCCTGAGGAGAAGGACTTGGAGATATTGGTTGATGAGAAGCTCATCATGAACCAGCAACCCAGGAAGCCAACAACATCCTGGGCTTCATCAAAGGAAGCATGGCTGGCAGGTTGAGGGAGGTGATTCTGCCCCTCTACTCTGCTCTGTTGAGACCCCACCTAGAGTACTGTGTCCAGCTCTGGAGCCTCGAACATAAGAAGGACAGGAACCTGTTGGAGAGCATCCAGAGGAGAGCCATGAAAATGATCAGAGGGCTGGAGCACCTCTCCTATGCAGACAGGCTGAGGGAGTTGGGGTTATTCAGCCTGGAGAAGAGAAGGCTCCAGGGAGACCTTATTGCAGCCTTTCAGTATATAAAGGGTTCCTACAAGTAAGATGGGGAGGAACTCTTTATCAGGGAGTGTAGTGATAGGACAAGGGGTAATGGTTTTAAATTGAAAGAGGGTAGATTTAGATTAGATTTAGAAATTCTTTACTGGGAGGGCAGCAAGACACTGGAACAGGTTGCCCAGAGAAGTTGTGGATGCCTCATCCCTGGAAGTGTTCAAGGCCAGGTTGGATGGGGCTTTGAACAATCTGGTCTAGGATTCTGTAAGTCAAGATGAGAAAATGGGAATAATCAGGAAAATCACAGAACACACTAACTGTTGTGGAAAAAATGGTATTTACTATTTCCACCAAATGAACACACAATAGCTTACAAAAACCAATAAATATGTAAAGAGCAAGGCCTTCTATGAGCAAGAGGCAGATGGAGACAGAGTGATAATGCATTTGTACTGTCTCATTCTTCCAGTAAAAAGGATGAATAGATATTTTGTAACAGCAATGAGAAATAATTGCTGCTGCACATAATAAATGTGTCTGAAATGAAAAAAATGTATTTAATATAGTGTGGGTATATTAAAAAAAGAGGAAAGGAACATACTAGTTGGTTAAAACATTATATAATTTCATTAATTTGAGGACAGATTATAATCTTATTTATACATTTTGGATAAACCTTCCTCTTAAGATGTGTCTACTCCCAGAGTTGCGCAGGCAGGAAGGCAACAGGAATAGAACGCATTTTAAAAGCAATAACAATATGCCTATCTCAGCTTAAAAGTTGTAGTAGCATCTTGAATATCATCTAACCAACCTTTAAGGCAAATGTGTTTAGATGAGATAAAACTGAGTGTGCTACTAGAGGAGATTCTAGGAGGTGTTAGAAGTGGTCCTGATCAATGCTGTAAGATGCCAGATCTGTATTTTTCTTTATGCAATTTAGGGAGATGGTTTGACTCTCATTAGTCTGCACTAAGGTTTCAGTATTTTAAATTATCAGAAAAGGAAGTGGAATATACATAGTCTTGAACTAATTCCACATAATTAAAGGTCATGCGTGTTTGGGTTAATGATGTAAATGTTTCCTGTTTTGTTTGTTTTCCCTTTTGAGAACAGAAGGAACAGGGATCTTACTGCTTTCCTGTAATTTAAATGCTGCTGGATTGTAAGCAAGCAGACTGAGTAGGTGATACTGTTATTAAAGATAACTTCAGTATGTGGTAAATGCCAGATATGCTTTAGCAATGGTTGCCAGATGCCCAGTTCCCCGAGCAGGGCATCAGTCTTTTCAAAGTGTGTATAAGCTGTACCTAAATACAGTTTTAAAGAGTAGGTAGACCTGCTGTCAAGGTATTTGAGGTCACAATACAAGCACAGCTTCCACATTAAATTATTCTGCATATAAACTTGAAGCAAGTGAAAGGTGACAGATTGAATGATGTAGGACTGAAGATTATCTGTAGTACAGCTATTGCAGAAATAGCAATTTAAGTTTTCATGTGTAATACTGTTAAGGCTGAACAGCCCATTTTCCATGTTTACAATTCTCTGACCCTTGGAAGTCCTGGCAGAGAAGCAATCAGTATGGTGGATTTTATGACCTCAATATGCATCTAAAGGAAACAAGACAAACATCCAGACTGATTGTATATTGTGTATCAGACAGTCATTAGCTGGAATGATTGCTCAGCATTCTTTAGGATCTCATTATGAAACAGTGATTTACAGATGCAAGATTCTTCTGTCCGATGTTGAATTCTTAAACCATGGGTTCACAATTCTTTTTTTCCCTTTGGACTATTCTCAGTCCTTATCATTTTACATAAAAACTTTTCCCTTTGGAATTGAAAACACTGTTAAGGCAACATGGCTACATTGTGCAATTACACACAACTTACCTGTCAGGTCACTCAGGGAACCAACAAGTCTTAATTGCCCTGACCAGCCTCATCTAGGACCTCCACTCACACCCTCTGCTTATTGGTCCAGGAGGCATACTTAAGCTCAGGTCGCAGCTTCAGTACTTTCTTGTTTTGCTGGAGGTAATTCTGCTCCTGGTTGTCTCTCTAGTGCTGTCTCCTGTTCTCATGGACCTGGGTTGCTATTGTAGCCTTGTCTCCTGACTGGACTTCTGGGTAGACCCCAGACCTGACTTGTTACCTTGCTTTGTCTAAGGATGACTGACTGTCAGCAGAACCTGTCACTACCACCAACCTTGTCACATTCAGATACTGTTGCCCGGTGGTAAGGGCGCTGCCTGTGCTTTCAATACCTTTGGCTTCTTGTTTCTCTGGAGTAGCCACACTCTTGTTGCTCCCTGACCATTCATTTGTGGATCGTTAATGGTGCATAGGCCAAAATTTATGAGCCATAGACCCAATCCATGCCATTCTCCTGGCCACAGCACTTGGTGTAAAAACATGAATTCCAGTAGAGTTTGCATCACCACAGAATTTCCACGTACGTTCTTCACTCCAAAGTTTTCAAGTACATCTGACAACAACACCTTAAAGGTTACTCACCCTGCTTTGGATCTTTTGAGCCTGGAATGCTGGTTTATTCTTCATATTGCTGTGTGTGTTCTGCAGTTCAAACCAAAAATATGTTATTTGATTTCAGAAACAGATTTTCAAGTACTCAGCAAAAAATATGAGATATTTACCAAAAATCACTCTTGAATAGTCATCTAGAGTAATAAATATGATCATAGGGGATATATTTTGGAATTGTTAATCCACAAAATCTTCCTATGTACACCCAACTTAGTAGGAATATTTCATATCAAATAACCATACAAAGGTATGTCCAAATATTGACTAAAATTTATGGACTAAAATAACGCTAAAAAGGTAGGAGTGATGTTTTGTTTGACTATGAAATATCACCTATATATATGAATATATTCAGCTCTTAACTGAAATAGATATTGGGAAGACAAACAGGGTGTCAAAGCACACCATGAAATTATTAAATAGTGGTAGAATTCTACTGATGGTTATTAATTTCATTCTATGGTTTTAGCTATAGATACTGATGTGAAATTGTCTGATATCATGGGGATGAACACAGTGAACAGAATATGCAGATGTGATGCTGAAATGAATATATTACATACATAGTTTGGTGACATAGTTGTAAACTGGGAATCAACCAAAGCAAGAATTCTGTATGAATGGGACCGTTATTCCCTCAGCTTGGCTGCTCTGTGGCATAAAAGTTAATGGGAAAATAATATGAGGGTTTAGAGAAGTATTGCCAGTTTGGAAACTTGTTGGAGTAGTATCACAAGAAGGCTGTTTGTCTCAAAATTAGCAAAATAATAAAGCAGCACCGGAAGTATAAGAAAAGGGGGTTGTGCATTATGCATCCAAAGACGCAAATGTTAGTATATTACATCTGAAAATAACATGGATATGAAGTGACAGGACAGATATAAATGATAGCACATAATTCCTAACCCCAAATAAACAAAAATTTTCAAATACTTTGAGATATCTTTAAATACTCTAGTCATTTTTCATCTTCATACTGGGGGATTTTTAAGTAATAAAGTATTTTGTAGCATACCTCTCCCTTTTCAGACTTCATGGTTGCACACCTGAACTGGTTAGCATTTGCTTTCAGGAGCAGATCCTAAAATTAAAGCAATTAGCTTAAAGAGTATGGTACATTTAAATTTTCTAATAAGAATTTTCTGTCTGTAAAAGCCTTGCAGCCCAGACCAGTATATTAATTTGTTTCCAATGAACGAAAGCTTGACTTAGTATTTATATGAATTTTCATTCCTGATTAAAGACTTGAAGTGGGCAAGTCTTGATTTTGTACATAGTTCTGCCTGGTTGTATGCTTTGCACAGGGCATCAGGCCTTTGATAGGTCTGCCCACATGAAACATGTTGCTTATCCAGAATTCAACTTAAAAGCCTCATAATTATCTGTGGCACATCAGTACCAGAGTTAGTAACTGTTTCCACATAGCTAACAAGCAATGGCTTTTTGTTAAACTGGAAGATTATGATCAGGGGATCTGAGCACCAAGGGTTGCTCCAATAGGCACAGACCTAACAGTAATTCCACCTGTCATTTTAAAGGGGGAAGTACATGCAGACTTGTTTCTAGCTTTTGGATATTTCTTTCGGTTGTAATCAGTAATCTCTAATCAAAGCTGTGAAACACAGACTAGATTTTCTAATGGCTTTCTGGACAGCAGCTGTCCGTAATATCAGCACTTCCATAACTGTCTAGAGTTTGGCATCCAGTGTTCTCATTCATTCTTACAGATGCTCAGACATGGTAGTTAATAATGACAACTATAGCTTCTGCAAAAATGCTATGAAACAAATGTCATTTTTAATGCATATTTCTTTCAGGACCCAACATTTCAGCTTGTTTAGCAAACAGTCTAGGGAACTGACCTTTGTGAATGCTTTGGATGCCTTTGATAACATTCCAGAGGCGACAAAAACTGCTGTTATTGCAGCTATAATTTCTGTGATGGTTTTCCTTTGTTCTTTGTATTCATGTATTTTCTCCACTGAAGAATGTGGCTAGTAGTTAAGTGATTTTATAGTTGTCATAGATTTTTGACAATATAGGCACTGTGATATCTTGCTTTTCCTCCCCAGTTTTTCTAGGAAGTTTGCACGTACAAATAAGCACACAGACAAATAGGCGTGTGCTTTCTCCACAATATGGAAATAATAAAATAATAAAAAATAATGTTGTATTGTTTTATAATGAAATACCAAGCATAGGTAATATGATGGGCCAGCAAAAGGAATGAAAAGTTTATCTCTCTAGAATCTATCACACATTAAAGGATTTACTATAGTTAAGGAAAAGAATCCAATGTCCCTTTCACAAGGACATGAGGAGAGCCCAGAACAGTGATAAATGGACTTGTACTGCCTAGTGAAAACTAGAGTAAGCCATTTTCAGAATGGGGGTGGGAGAGTACAGATAAAAAGGAGTTAAATAGCATGCTTTTTATTGAGTTTATACCATTATTCGATTTGGTATGGTGATTGCAGCATGGGGAGGAAGAAAGAAAGTGGGAACTGACATCTAATTAATTCCCTTCCAAGGTAAAGACAACAACAATCTGCTTTAACCGTGATAGGAGCTAACTCATTGAACAGGATTCATATCAAGATCGGATCAAATAACTAGGTCTGTTTCTTTGGTCTTCCAGGCCCTCCCTTCTCCTGCTCTCTTAACACACAGACCATGTACTCTGCTTCTTTACAAATCATGATCACTTCCCACTCTCTCAGCCTGCTGAAGTAAAGAGTATGGATTCTGCACAAAAAAGAAGTCAGAATCTGCTGATATTTTAAAATAGTGGGTGATGGCATGTGGTTATTTATCAGTTACTGTAGAAAACAAACAAAAATATTGAACACGTTTTGTATTTTGAAGCCTTAATTATTAAGTGAATATCTTAAATATCCACATGTCCTGTGGGAGTAAAAGAGCCATCAAACTATTTGAAGCTTGTGAAGGGAAGAAAGTAATCATGTTTCTGCTACCTTACATGGCTACTTGCATAATTTCTCACATAGTACTTGTACAGTGAATAAAAGGTGGACCTTGTCTCAAACAATTATTAATAAAATAGGAAGATTGAAAAGGGGGTGATAGAACAGAATGGAGGATAAAAACTCCATGACTCTAGAGAAAGAGCCAGGCGCTATTAGGTGCAAAACTAAATATGTTTCAGATAAAGTTCTAAGACTTGTGAAAATGGAACATTATGGAAGAAACAGTTTAGAAGAAAGGAAAGACTAAAACAAGAACATAATACACTTACTTCAGCTTTTCTCCAGTTTTTTGTTTTCATTTCCTCTAGTTGCTTTTTTTCCTTTGGAGGTTTATAGGTGCTTGGAGGAACCTATATTAAAAGGCAAAAATCACCACGATATGGTGTATAAAACATTCTTGCAGGAAAAAAACACATTCACTTTTACTGTAGAACAGCTGCAGTTATATTTTATATATTGATTCTTTTCTATTAATGCCAGTGTAGAAGACGTACAAATTCCAATTAGCTGGGACTACCCAGGCTTTTCAGTCCTGTTCAATATAGCATAACCCCTGGACAAAGACCAGAAAGAAAAATCTGAAACTAGTACAAGAAAGGCTAAAGAAAAAATACATTTCTATAGGCCCTATCAAGGGAAAAAGAAGTTGCCAGAGAGGGAAAAGTTCTGTTTGGTATCTCATAAACTTCAGCTTCACAGCACTGACAACCAGATAGGGCAGCTGAATAAAGTTAAGCTGTGGAGCTCTTTGGCACAGTGTGTGGTAGTAGTAACAAGTTACAGAGACTCCAAAGAAGTTTAGGGAAGAGAAATCCTTTAAAGTTTATTAAATACCCAGGAACGTCATTGTAACTGAGGAAGTCTTTGAGCTGGAATGATGGGAGACTGAGAAGGCAGCTGGAGAAAGCAGCAGCTATGCTTGTCCTATCCCTGTAGTCTTCCTAGACATCTGTGTTTGGCCACTGCTGGAGAAAATACACTGGGCAAAATGGGCCTTTGCTGTGGTCTACCATGGCTGCCCTAACGCCCTTGTTAGGAGATACCATTGGAGATGCGGCTTAAACGTTTGGAGGAAGAGGACTTAGAGGGCTCTCCTAGCATCAGTCGAAGATTTGAGAAAACATTCACATGGCAGAAAGTATTACAGATAAAATGGCCAGGAAAGAGTTGTTGTCTGGCTGTCATATGGATCAACGGGAGACTAGGGACTGTATGGTTTTGAGTTAGGCTGAAACTTCCGGGAGATTTCAATATTTGCTTGAGCAATAAATTTTGCCCAGAAGCAAACTCTGAAAAAAGACTGGATGTCTCCTTCCTACGTGGGTGAAATAGTCTGTCAGTTTACTGGACATCTGCTTAAATATTTACCTTGCTAAAAATGTTCTAGCTCAATTAGAAGTTACAGAATTAATTCAAGAATTAATGGGAAAAAATCTATAATCTGTATTGTACTGGAGGTCAGTTTAGGGAACACGGGGATCCCATCTACTTTTAGTGGACTATATAAAGATCTATGCTTTGAAAAACTCATGCATCTGATGTACTTTCCACTGCCTTTGCTATTTGACATCATTATCTACAGGCAAAACAAATGCACAAACAGAAGCAGCTAGCAATTAAATGCACTAGTGAGACTGCCCAAGTATTTTTGTGAGCTTTTTAAGTGAAGTAGAACTGAAAGTATTTCCCAGCAGTATCTAAGAATTTTTATTATGCTTTTATGGATGGAGAAATTTAAGCCCAGGGGATTTGCAAAGGGTTGCACAGGCAGTGAGTATCAGTTTATTTCACTATTCTACCTAATCATGTGCTTCACCTGCAAAACTATACTCATCTGCCAGTGTAAGCTGAAAATCTCTCCTCAGAAACTGCTATGCTTATTCCAAGTAATTTAAGGAGGAGACTTTTCAATCAGCTCTGTTTCAAAAATGATCTTAGCCTTGTAATTTAGCCCTCAGATACCATGGTGATGAGTACCAATCAGACAGACAGATAGACAATACAGCACTTACCCAGTTGCCAGAAGAGGATGAATAAATCACTACAAGCAAATTGTAAATTCCAGCAATAGAGAGATCAAAAAGGCCAAACTGTACCTACTTAATCCTAATGTGAAAAAAAGGGGGCTGGGAGCAAGAGACACCAACCTTGCTTTTCCTCTCCAGCTTTCTGGATATCCTTTTACCAGAGTTTATTTAGGGATTAGGTATCACATGAATAATCACTTTGAACTTTGGTAGTCATCACTCTTCTATTTTTTTAAAGTTACTGTCATAAGATGGACAAGGGCAAGCTAATGCAATGCGATTTTCTTAAGAGCTTCTATTTGCATGCACAACAAGATCATAAAGATAAATGTATTGTTGGGTCTATATATTTGCAAAAAAAATTCCTCTGTATTGGCCAAATGAATTCACCCATTTCATTATTTTAAACAATGAAGCAAAGCTCCACTCATAAAGCACAGCTGAAATAATAAAGAAAATATCTAAAAAATACACAAAATTTGGCTGAATGGTGTTACAATAACATCTCAGTGTGGCCTTTTTATTTTTTTTAACTACATTATTGGTTTACAGAAAATCTAAAAATCAAATAATTGCATAATCTTATTATTCTAGTACAGTTGTGATTTCAAAAGAATGGATTTTATTTGCAAATCAAGGCGAAGATATCCAAGGAAGTTAAATGTGTCCAAATCATTTTGCATGTTATCAGGTTTAAGCACCTGTCTCCATTTGTTTCATTTGCAAACCTTAAGCTAAAGCACTTCTTTTTCTTTGTAGAATTGTGTTTATGAATGTGTGTACGCATATGTGCATGCTTGTGTGTGCATCCACATGCTTGTGTGCAAAGGACAGTGGAGAGAAGAATTTATAAACTTTAGACCAAATATTAAGAGTGAAATGTTTCCTTATTAAATTTCAAAATTAAAGTGTTTTTCCTTTTTACTTAGTGTCTCCCATTTCTGATGAATGTTTATGATGATGAATGATTACTCTAATCTTCTAGGCTTATGTTACTCCAATGAAACTTTCCAAGGTCAGTATAGATCACTAAGTAAGACAACTACCCTACCTTCTGCAATAAGCCACATCTCCAGTCCTTTCCTGTGAAGGAAACATTGGTTCAGTGTACAGGACAACAGTACCATCCCAGCTCCTGAACTCAATGTATGGGATACATGTCATCTTACTTTGTATTTTATCTCTACTATAGAATATAATGCAACCTAGCAGAAAGCAATACCAAAAATAATAATCCTATAATCAGAATGACATAATTTCACCATAGAAATTGCTCAAAATCCAGATGCCTCTATATGAATTCATGCAGTTGTTTCAAAGTCAAGCAGTAATTATGCCTGTAGTTATTGTGAGCACAGTAGTCCCTGCTAATATGCCACATGATAAGTTCTTTGACAGATGCATGAGAACCACAAGAAAAAATTGATATCTCATAAAACAAGCAACTTTGTGAGATAATGGATGAGAATATTTCTGCAGCAGATGTAATCTATAAAAGCTGTACTTGTGTGTGTTCCTCTCAATTATATACAACTCTCCACCATACAGTAGCCAAAACTATGGCCTGCTCTCACTTTACTCTTTTTTGCCATCTGGGCTCTCTTTTCAGTCTCTGTTCATTTCGGGATCTAAAATGGTGATACCGGCAACAATATGGCAAATTAAAGAGAAGCTTAATTTGCTGAGATAGGTACAGAAATGAGCACAACATATGTCACTACTACGCTAATGGTTTTAGATTCACTCAAGCTTTTGTATTTGCAGACTTGGCCAGAATGTAAACCAAATTTAGTATAATCCTAACAACACAAATGAACTTCAGTAAATGCATCCGCATTAAAGCAAATTTATTCTAAGAGGGGCTGCACACCATAAAGGTACTAAAATGACAGCAATATGACTCATTCCTATACTGATTAAGTAGTTAGTAAATGCAATTTTTCAGAGCCTGGTATTAAGCTGTTTCAATGTAAAATCCCATTAACTGTATAACACACTACCATTACATTGCTCTGCCATCCTAAGATGTAAATGGTTTCTAAGAGCATTCAACACATGTATTATTTAAAACATGAAGTGCTAATACAAGGTGGCAGATAATGCCCAAAACTATGACTTTCAAGCTCACTTCCCACTGCATTTAAATATAGATGATTTTAGAGCCTTTATTAAGTTAGTCATAGCAGCTTGATCCCAAATCCTGTTTGCCTTACCCCAGTAAGGTAACTTAAAACCAATCGTGTGTCTCCGATTTGTACCAGTGTAACTGAGTCACAATCTTAGACAATGAGTAAAATAAAAGCATAGCATTTCAAAGATAAATCTAGTCTCATTTATACATAAGCAATAAATTTAAACTGAAAAACCTTAATTTTGGAGATTCACCATTAATACAAATAGAAAGGAATAAAATTCCACCCTCAAGGAGGATCTGCAAACCTAGAGTCCATCTCACCTCCAGTGAAATTGCTTTGCCATTTATTTTAAGGAGTGTTCATCTACAAAAAATCTAAGTTTGTAAAAAATTTTCATTTAAATGTTTTTTTCTTACCTGCTTCAGTGCATTATCCAAAGCAAACATCTTACAAATCCAAGGACTACCAGAAACACTTGTATCAATGCTGTCATCAATTTGTACCCATTGTATAGTTCTACCTCCAAAAGTCACAAAACAACTACAGGAAGCAACTTTTTCCCTTTCCTTTGTTTGGCTTACAATTTGCTTACACAACATGCACTGAAATGAAAAGAATTAGTTTGCGGTTGTTTTTTAGAAATCTGACCTTCAGTAACATAGAATATTACAAAAATCGTTGATCTGTCAAAGGTAGTAGATTTTCTACAATTATTTTGAAAGAGACTATTAACTCCCCTACCATGAATTTTTGCACAAGCATGCATAAAACTTAGAACCTTTGAAAGCATAAAAAAACTCACAGGTGGCCTTTTTTCCAGTACTGGTATTGGCAGAGGTATAGGAATGGCACGTGGTTTGGGTACAGTCAAATTAAATTCCTTTGGCTGAGTGACTGTCGAAGTCTTCACAGTGGTAGTACGATTACTTAATTTATCTGCGAGCTGTTCAATCAGTTGCTGTACTTTTGGCTGCCATCTTCAAATAAAAACAGGTTTCCAATTTTATTTCATTTTTTTCTTTCATACAAACTTACACACAGTATATGAGGTTGGCATTGATGCAAATTCTGTAATGCTTTCAGCCATTCAATTTTAATAAAATTGACCTGTGTATTTGTACTCATGATTTAGTTGGACTGGGTACTTCACCTCTTGATAGACTCAAGTCCATTCCGACTACTAGTGGTGAAATAGCCACAGTTTTTACTGAATAAGCAACTATGTATCCAGTTTGTTTCCCAGCAGCATCAGACTAGGACTCAAAAAAGCAGCTGTCATAAGCTAAGTACACACTTAACATACTTAGATGAAGAGACTGAACAAACAGTGGTCTCAGTATTCCCACTTTTACCAACTGACAGAGCACACATAAATCAATCTCATAATCAATCTTTTCTAATAAGAAAATAGAAGTAAGGAGTTTGGTGAATTAGCAAGTGAACCCTTAATGAACCCTGTGGGGCAGTCAAGATGATTTTGATTTCTCTGTGTTTGGATTTTGGCTTGTATGAAGGTTCAGACTTCTTCCAAGGAATGACAGGAAGGTGCAGAGTTCAAGGTAAGACAAAAACAAGTTATCACAGGGCTAATTATGGTGACAGCTTCATGTCAGTTATTCCTCCTCTAGATGTGTTCTATCCTTAAGTATCACACATGCAATGGAGCATTCCCAGAACTTAAAAAGCAGCTCACAATGCAAATTTACAGTAACTTGTTTATATGACTGTTATCTTAGCTAGTACTGTCATCATGGGATGAGGCTTGCAAGTAACTTCTGCAAGTAATGCAGCTCCATTAAAATAAATAGGACTCTTTATATTAACCTCATTGACTTTAGAAAGAGGAATACTAAGATGTATTTAAAAGAATTGAAGCATCTGAACTGATTAAACCGATCAATGCACCCTCAGCTTCTTGAAGGAAGTTTCAAACCCAGTAACAAAATATGGTCTCCAACAGTCTTATATAACTTACATTTACTACTTCTAGGCAAAACACGTGTTTGTTACGTGGATAGTAATTGACTGTGAAGGACAGCTCCAATAAGCCAATAAGTTAATGAAACAAGCAATATATTAAGCATCTGCCTGCACGTATATGTACATATAAAAAGTGTGTGGATACGTGTATATATCTGTATCTATATGTCTCTATCTGTATCTTTATACTATTGTAAGCATATGTTATAATTAGAATTACTACAGTGGAATATAGCAAGTTAAATTCTGACTTCAAATATATCCCTGCAGTTCCTGTAGAACTGAGTGGAATTTGGAGTATTGCAAGCCAAATCTATACTATATATTTGCAAATTTAGCATAATTTACATAGTATGAAATAATATATTCTACTGACTTTGATATGACAGTTAGAACTAGACGCAAACTTTTTCAGCTGACATTGTTTGTAACATATTTTTGTCTAATAGTGTTTGCTGTCATCTGGGTTAATCTATACTGCAGTGAGGAGGATGTGTGATTGCAGCCACATAGGTGTACCAATGTTATCTGTCCTGGGTAAAAACGACAGTGAAAAAGTGACACAAAAGGCTGCAGAGCTACTGTTTCTCCACATGAAATTGTTCCAGTTTGGCAAGGGTAGTCATGTAGCTACTGTATCAGCACCTAACAAAGGAGTGGACACACCTGGCACCTCAGAGCATTTAAACTGTTAAATGATGCTGCAATTGTGTAAATAAATAATAATTTTAAAAGACTTGTTTACATGCTTATCTGATTTGCATTGACCATTGACCATTGACATAACAAGTCTGCACATAAAGCCAAACTCAGGGAAGTCAAACATCTTTTTTCATATGCTTAATGTCATAGAGATGTTGAATTGACTTATGAGGCATGAATCTAATGCTATAAGACAATTTTAACCTAATTTTTCTTTTAGGAGTATGATGTTTGATCTATTCAGAGGCACTGAGAAACAAATGTACAACAGCTGTGAAAGGACTTTTCTATCAGAGAACCTTGCCTCTGGGTAAGTAAAAGGGATTCCTATAGTCTCACAAAAGAGAAGAAGGGTTCTGAGCGACTTCAATAGGAGAAACACTTGAACAGCAAATTGAACTTTCAGGGGAAGCTTTCCCCAGCTTTTAAACTTCGAGGTGGCAACAGGCTACTTAACTACTGCTTACCTTAGCAGTGGATCAATCCAGTTCTCTTTTACATACAGTGAATCGTAAAACTGACTCCATTCATCTTTTATCCATGTGTTCAAATACAAGGCATTGAAGAAGAATCTAAGAAACTAATGATAAGTGATTTCTTTTAAATATGAATACTGAAGGTATGATGTATATAAGACTACAAAAAGAGAGTTACTTTTACTACAAACACAGCTGAAGAATTGGCTTGTATTTTATCCTGTAATTATAATCATAGGTGCTTGATATTTGTAAGTTCTTCTTAGTTCTGTTAGGACAGCCCCATGTCTTTTAGACCTATTTTGTGAAACGCTAATAGATACTAAAATATTTTTAGTGGTCTAAAAAAAAATATAGGGGCTGAACATGGGGATGTGTCGATGCATCTTTAATTTGCTTCTAACATTGTGAAACAAATGTTTTTATTCAAAATTAAAGTACTATTGCAATACACTGATTTTCGTATAATTATATAACAGAATTTCAGAGTCTAATATACCCACAATCAGCTCCTGGTTATCTATAGCTAGGTAATTCATGGTGCCCAGAAACATCTCAGGCCTGACACTGCACCTGAATTACTGAAGTTCCTTTCAGCTCCCTGGGAACTGGGCAGGGAGAACTGCTGAGAACTGTAGTAACTGCTATACAATATGATTTCTTCTTTTACTGAAATATAATTAATTGGCATATTCCCAATTAACTAGAAGGCTGAAACTTGGCACACTTACACATTGTAGGGCTCTACATGCTGGAGAAATAGCAACTAACATTTGAACTTTTTTTTCCCTCTGGAGTTCACCAGAAGGTCAAGAACCTTTCTTTAAAACTTGAACTGCTCAAATGGCCTTTTGAAAAAGACTCTTGAAAAATGGCACTCAGATTCAGCATGTATCATTTACAGCAATATAAATTCCAAACTTGAACCTGAACCTTTTCATTAAAATTCTTGGAAATGAAAGTACAAGCAAGTATCATGCTGAAATAATCCCAATAATAGAAAAAAGCGCACTAAATAAAATAGACATTATGAAACATACTGGCAAGCAGTGTGCAGTCACTTGAGAAGCTTCGTATGGAGACTGCAGAGCTTATTAGTTCAGACTTGGCATTAGCCCTGTCTTGGGTTGGTTTCCACAGAGCCATATAGGTCTTTGTACTGAGTTTTTAGTTCTGGAGGACTACCAAGGAGCTTCTTAATTCACATGTAGCACCAGGCCCAAGGTGTCTCAGAATAATTCAGCTATAAACAATTCAGATTTGACTTAAGATGTTTGCTGCAGATGTTTAACAGGTGTAGAAGTCTGCTACTTGAAATCTATACTCTTGATGTGACCATTTCCAAGGAATTAACCTGTAAATTTAGTCTTATTTTCAACTATTGTGCTTTTGGTACAGTCAAAAGACTGATCAACAACTGAACGACTAAATGAATATAACCCTCTTGGATTCCCATTCTTTTATAGAAACCACTGCTCTTCCACAAAATTGCAGATGCTGGCATATCAACACACCATCCAAAAGAAGATATTTCATCCCCAAAAGCATGACTATAAACTAAGTATTGAATTGTGAAGAATATGTTTTTTTGGTGCTTCCAGATTCAGTGGAGTTTGCTAACTATAATAAGGGATGCATTTCATCCCATTGGTCTAGAAACTCATTCATTCTCCTTATGGAGAATCTTTCTCTGTAGTACCTGCATGTTGGATTACATTTTTCACCTAACATAGCAATTTGTGCTGATGCGATGTATAAATGAAATACTAGAAGTCTAGGCAGAGTTCATACTCTCCACCAGAACTGATGCACTCTATATACACTACTACCAGTTATTGCAACGAAATTTTACATTCAGGTATCCCAGCTGTATATATGATTACAGACCCAGAGAACACGTTCCCTGCCAAACTAGTCTTCTTACCTTCTTGAAGGCCCTGACTATACTCGAACTTTATACAAAATGTGTTTTTAAACCCATGTAAGCAAGTATGTATACAGGGGTGGAATGAACATGAACTGATATACTTAAAATGAGGCAGACCTTGAGGGGTGAAGCTAGTTTCAAATTTCTGGGTATTCAGAGAACTCACAGAAGTTGATGTAGAAATACCACAGGTGGTGATTTGTAAATTCTCCAATTTTCTTTCATGAGCTTTCATTAAGCTGAACTCCTCCTCCCTCTCTGTGTCCTCAGTATTCCTTTTTTATAGCCTAGTCCATCCTCACAGGCCTCAATTAGTTGCCTACTGCATTGCCACATGAAACTAAGCCTCTGAACTGTTGTTTCAGCTCTCCCTGACTGATGTTCTCCATCCAGGTCTTCTAAATATTTGCTGTAACTATCTTTTATAAAGTACTTGCAACTCAACTACCTCTTCAAGGCAGATGAAACTATAATAAAGACACACAGTTAGTGATTTCTAGCTGTTATATTTAACAGCTGTCTATTATCCCTTGAGGCCTCCTTCTACAACACCAGTTACGTACTGGTTATTAACATTTCACACTTTATTAAGACAAAAAGGTAATTAATCTCATTGATAAATGCTATGAGGTACTCCTATGAGGTACAGAGAACGGTTACCTGTGTAACCAGATATCAGTACAGGTATCGCTATCAGTTTATGGCCTTTGGAAGAAAGGGCAGGCCACTCATGAGGACTACAAAGATGTTGTGAGGCTATGTAGGGAGAAAATTAGAAGGGCCAAAGCCCAACTAGAACTTAATCTGGCTTCTGCTGCTAAGGACAATGAAAAATGTTTCTATAAATACATTAGCAATAAAAGGAGGACTAAGGATAATCTCCATCCTTTATCAGATGGGGGCTGAAACACAGTGACCAAGGATGAGGAAAAGGCTGAGATACTTAATGTCTTCTTTGCCTCGGTCTTTAGTAGTAGGACCCATTGTTCCCTGAGTACCCAGCTCCCTGAGCTGAAAGACAGGGACCGAGAGCAGAATGAAGCCCACATAATCCATGGGGAAATGGTTAGCAACCTGTTACACCACTTGGACATACACAAGTCTATGGGACTGGATGGGATCCACCCAAGGGTACTGAGGGAGCTGGCAGAAGTGCTCACCAAGACACTTTCCATCATCTGTCAGCAGTCCTGGTTAACTGGGGAGGTCCCAGTTGACTGGAGGTTAGCAAATGTGACGTCCATCTACAAGAAGGGTCAGAAGGAGGATCTGGGGAACTACAGGCCTGTCAGTCTGACCTTGGTGCTTGGCAAGGTTATGGAACAGATCATCTTGAGTGCCATTACGTGGCACATACAGAACAACCAAGTGATCAGACCTCATCAGCATGGGTTCGTGAAAGGCAAGTCCTGCTTGACAAACCTGATCTCCTTGTATGACACAATGACATGCTTAGTGGATGAAGGAAAGGCTGTGGATGTTGTTTACCTGGACTTTAGTAAAGCCTTCGACACTGTTTTCCACAGCATTCTCCTAGAGAAACTGGCTGGCAGGGTCCAAAGAGTTGTGGTGAAAGGAGTTAAATCCAGTTGGTGGCTGGTCACAAGTGGTGTCCCCCAGGGCTCAGTACTCGGGCTGGTTTTCTTTAATATCTATCAATGACCTGGATGGAGGGATTGAGTGCACCCTCAGTAAGTTTGCAGATGACACTAAGTTGGGCAGGAGTGTTGATCTGCTTGAGGGCAGGATGTCTCTACAGCGGGATCTGGACAGGCTGAATCAATGGGCCAAGGCCAAAGGCATGAGGTTCAACAAGGCCAAGTGCCAGGTCCTGCACTTGGGTCACAACAATCCCGTGCAGTGCTACAGGCTTGGGGAAGAGTGGCTGGAAAGCTGCCTGGTGGAAAAGGACCTGGGGGTGTTGGTCAACAGCCAGCTGAATATAAGCCAGCACTGTGCCGAGGTGGCCAAAAAGGCCAGTAGCATCCTGGCCTGTATCAGGAATAGTGTGGTGATCGGGACTAGGGAAGTGATTGTCCCCCTGTACTTGACACTGGTGAGGCCCCACTTTGAATACTGTGTTCACTTTTGGGCCCCTCACTACAACCAAGACATTGAGGTGCTGAAACGTGTCCAGAGAAGGGCAATGAAGCTGGTGAGGGGTCTAGAGCACAAGGAGGGCCTGAGGGAACTGGGGGCCTGGAGAAAAGGAGGCTGAGGGGAGGCCTTATTGCTCTCTACAACTACCTGAAAGGAGGTTGTAGCAAAGTGGGGCTTGTTCTCTTTTCCCAAGTAACAAGTGACAGAACAAGAGGAAATGGCCTCAAGTTGCACCAGGGGAGGTTTAGGATGGATATTAGGAAAAATTTCTCCATTGAAAGGGTTGTCAAGCATTGGAACAGGCTGTCCAGGGAAGTGGTTGAGTCACCATCCCTGGAAGTATTTAAAAGACAGGTAGACGTGGTGCTGAGGTAGTGGTTTTGGCAGTGTTAGGTTAATGGTTGGACTCGATGATCTTAAAGGTTCCTTCCAACCTAGATGATTCTATGGTTCTATGATTCTAATACTGTGATATATATATTAGTACTGGTTTAGTTGTCACAGTCCCCAGAGAAATGCTATGATAAAGTTATGGCCCAATATGCATCATGCTAGATAAGGCTTTGAATGCTGCCCTGGAACGGTTATCCAAGCAATGCAGAGATTGCAAATGGCAATGAAGAATTACCAGACATCATTTCTGACCACAATCTTGGTTTTGATAATCCATATCACAGATGGTGAATGTAGGTAGAATATGACCCATGAAGCCCTAGAACATTTCATTTCTTAACAATAGAAACCTTTGCATTTTGTGAACAGAATTGCTAGAAGAAATCCCTTATATTTCTGCTTTGGTTTTGGCCACATGTGGCACAGGTGGCAATCCCACTATCAGCAGTCTTTGCTTTTATAGCAGCAAAATGCAGTTTGAAGTTCTCACAGATTTCTGTTTGGATGTTACCAGTATCTATCTTCTTAGAGAAGTTACTGGGCAGTCATTTTGGTAACAGCATTATTCTGCTTACTCTTCTGCCTTGAATGTTCCAAGAGTTTCACTACTCACAGAGCAGAATAACTGAGATTCATTTCCCTTCTAGAAGTGGTGGAATTACACCAGAAATGGATTGTACCCATTTTTACTATTTTAATGTACTCTGGCTGTAGTTGGACAAATGTGTACAATTAAAGACTGTTCTGTAATGCATTTTTACAGGTGGGCTGAATTAGTGCCTTGCTTTTGAGAATTTGAACATGCCCTGCTAATATTCTTAATGGATTTTTACACAGTGGGATTGTACAGATTTCTAAAAAGCAAATAAGAAATGGGAAGTTTCCTCATCTGGTATCATCTTTACATCCATGTAGTCATTTGCAGAGCTGAAATTCTTATATTCACAACATCAGCTTTTGACTCTTGAGTTAAGGAAGTAACTGCAGGGAACAGCAGGTTCTGTTTCTCCACACAGATCAGCCACTACCTGAGAATGCTGTTATTTTGGCTATACACACCCACAGCTATTTGCTGTAGTAGCAAAGGCAATCAAGGAGGTTCCTGTCCACTCCTCTCTTCATCTGCTGATTCTTTCCCTCTTATTGCAGGTTAGTTCTTCAGCTATGCAAGCTCAATCACCTGTGGGATTTTACCTTTCAAGTGCAACAGATAAATGAAGAGGAAGGCAAGAATCTCTTAAGAAGGCTTTCCTATGAAGAAATTGTAATGGGCAACTCTATTTTGAGGATCCTGAGGTAAAGGTGTAGAGAAAAGTGTCCTAGCATGGTCTCAGGTCCTCCTGCCATTGCATGACCCAACTTGGAGTTTTTTGCCCCCATGTCTACCATGAGACTGATCTTGTCCTACTATTCCTATCTCATCATAATACCAATTACAATACTCAGGGTTTTTTTTTTTTCACAATATATGTGAAAAAATTTTCTGTGTCTCGTCTGAACTCAGACACAATAGTCATCGGGCAAAATCTACAAGTCAGCATCCTGAAGGAGAATCCCAAATTTCTGACAACTTCTGTTGCTAAGGCTGCAGATCTGCCTTCTGCTGTTTTTGTCTCTGTTGCTGGGGGGACCAAATGCTGCTTCTAAATCCTCTGCTGCAGGTGCATTAATATAATCTAGCATCACTTTGGAGACAAAGAACCTCTTCTAATGCAAGAGAAGAAACCCTAGGTACCATGGTGATGAGGATCTGATAAGATACTTTAGCAAACAAAGTTACATCTACAGCGAAAAAGTAGCAGGTGCAGACCATTGCATAATGCAGCACTTTGGTATCAGGAAAGAGTTATTCCAGACAAGGAAGGAGAAATTATCTGAAACAGAACATCAGGGCACTGACATTTAAGCCATGTAAAGCTAGGTGAATGGAATCAACAAGAGATAACTGGCATGAAGAGGGAAAATTGTGTTGCTAGCTGAATGAGCTCAAGATGCATCCAATCCAGTGGCTTGTGTCTAAGATGTTTACCAAAGAAGGGGCTGGGAGAGCATTTTAGATAGAGTGATTTGTCTGTCTACCAGATTATGATAATTCTTCAAGCCACTTCTCTGTTTTTTCTAACAGTTAATGAAATATATAATTTTTGTCTCTGAATGGAATTAATAAAATCCATTCCATAGTAAGCCCACCAAAACAAAGTGAAAAGAGTGTTTCTAAAAACATTATGCAGACAACCTAACCTACTCTCTCCCTACATATTACAAAGCAAGTGTACTCATTAAAGAGACACTGGCATCCACATGAACATTAAAAGTAATCAGTATAAGGATAAACCTTAGCCTTTTGAGTATTAATTGCTAAAATTTGCCTATCATCTCTTAAATTCCACATTTGTTATTCAAACACTGTGTTTGGACTGTACTTTGAAACATCTGAATAATCAAAGTTGACATATGCTGTGTCACCAGTAATGTAATTTTTAGCCTATTTACCTAAGAAAACAGAGCTTATGAGAAAGCATTGCCACTCAGTTTATCCCTCTCCGCCTCTTTACAACATACCTTTTAAGATAATCACCACTTTCAACCATTTTGAAAGAGAAGCAGAAGATATTTTGATTTCTACAAATTTCATGAAAATTAGCAAACAAGTAGTGGAGTAAACCACAAATCTGTGACTCCATTGAGGAAAAGGCAGGCTGAACTTTGTTGTCGTGCCTTCTATTTGGCAGCAATGGTTTGGTCAGTTGCATGTATGTTGTTGTAACAAGGCAATTGGTATATGCATAGCTCCAAATGAGCAATTTTTTGGGGAAAGGAGAAAAAACAATGGAAGGACAAAAGGCTTGATAATCAAAGTGGTAGTGGGTTGTTCAGGTAAAAAAAAAAGATGACTAACCAGCAGTAACTGCAAGCTTCAATAGATTCATTGCTTATGAATCTATGAATCTGCCTAAAGCCAAAGAAGGAATGTGAGCCGGGCCAAAAATGAGTATGCAAGTTAGAGGGACAACTGTAAATCACATAAACGGTAAATCATGTGATTATTCTACCTTCTCAGATTATATAAAATACATTTTAACTTGATCTTTGATTGACTATGAGATAGTTGCTGAGAAAGTATTGAAATTTAAGATTTTTGTGATAACAAAATACAAATTTAATTTCTGAATTTAAACAGAAAGTAACACTAATTCTCAATTTAAATTATCCTGAAAGTTGAGAAATATAATCTGATTAAGCAAACACAATGAAGAGATCATTGATTATTTTTTTAAATATATTTTGTACTTTCATTACCTTTTGCATTTTTGCAGTGTCGAGAGATTTCACAATTCTGCTGAAGCGCTGAAGACCGAGCTCTTCTAGTTGAAAAGTAGCCAGATAACAAATAACTATCAAACGATACATACATTTAAAATGCAGCAGGAAATTCTAATAAATGCATATCCTATACTCTGGGATTTAGACTGTAAACTTTAACTTTAAATAGTCTTCAATATTGTTTATCTACCTGGGCAATATAAGGCTTGACAATGACAAACTGTAATATGAAGTTATAATATAATGTTAACCCTATATTCATTATTAGCATTGTGATTCTATGCTATGGTTCATATAAACCAGTTATCTTTTTTGTGAGTCAGATCCAAGCTAGCGCAAATCTACACAATTTTATGGAAATTCTAACAGCTGAGGATCTGGCCACTTACACAAAAAATGTAAAACAATTGTAGCTATCTGAAGTCATTCACAGAGGTCCTTTTGATGCCTGCAAATATCTATTTGCAAAGCTGGGAGATCTACTGTAATGGCATTTGGAATCCTGTAAGGCCGAAGGTAAGATCTTGCCACGATTTCACAGTCATTTCATTATGCCAACATCACCACTGAAACAAGAAGATCTATCAACCGCTAATTGCTTGTTCCCATTCCCTCTTTTTTACTTACTGGTGTTTCTTCTCTTGGGCAAGTACAGTCACCCACACAGCCAAGTTAAAACAGATTGTGAATTTTAACCTGAAGCACTTTCTTGATCAATTCACTGGAGAGCTGCTAAACATAAGCTCTAACTCAAGAGAAGATATGACACAGGGGTGAGAATAAGTGGCCAGTGATGAGAAAAAGGGCGGCCTGTTTCTTTGGGTAGTAGTACCAGTTTATACCTGCATATTCCATCTGTGAAATTCTGTGTTAATCTGGCAACAAGGCAGGGAGAATAGGAGTCAGATGGCTCCTGAGAGACATGACTGAAAAGCTTCTGACAGTATTACATTGTTGGAAACGGCTCTCTTTTAGTGTAACCAAAATTTTCAGTGTAAGCCAGCTTATTCTGACAAAACTTAATGTGAACAACAGACATAAATGAAAGTTTTGATAGTGAACTTTTCAACATACCGTTTTTAATATTTTCAGAGAGGATAGCTCTTATTCTTTTGTTCAAAAATCATAGTTTATTATACATGACAAAAATTGTAAACATAAAATATCATATTTCTAGTATTTTTTCCTTTTTTTTCCTTTTTTTTTTTTGCAACTGACCATTTTGCAGAAAGTGTTGTAATCTTTGTTTTTATTCTGAATTAGAATAAAACCAAGTTTTTGAATTGTGAAATTGTCTGGGAAATCTGGGAAATCTGATTCTTGCATCCCCCTCTGGCAAGTATGCAGTTTGATACAGGAAGAGGCACAGTCAGCGCCATGAGATTTTTGCAGACCTGTGAAGTTCATGAGCTCCTGTATCAGCTTTCATTTGGCCATATTCACTTTGATCAATTAGGCTTCACTTGCACTGCAGTATTTTAGCCGCCACCAAACAGTAATGATAAAATCAGTAAATTCTAACCAATGTGCTGCAGCCAACTCCGTGTACTGTTAGGCTTCAATCTTGTGCTTTAGCATAGCAACATATTTAAGCAGTCTTAGTAGAATATACATTTATCTCCTACAAGCTTTATTAAATTCAAATCTGCTCACACATAGCAACAGCCTTTATAAGCAGCTTTGATCATTTAAGTGTCAATGCAGCTTGGCAAAGGGAATCACAAGCAGCTTAAAAAAATGTAAGCCAATGACCTTAGACTCTCAACTTGTTGATAAAGGAAAATTTCCCAGGGCCTACCCTCTGCCTATGATTAATGGAGGCTTTTGAGTGGACCAGTCCTGACAATCCAATTATAGCAACACTCAGCTTAAAGGTATAATTTATGTGCTCCAGACACTGAAAAACATGGCTTTGGAGAAATGGAAACAATGAAGCATTACCATTTAGAATAAATTCAATATACTATTAATTTCATCCCTGACAGTCTAGGTTCCCTTTCAGTTGTTGATTTCAATTTCTATACCTTTCCATATTGTGACGGAAGCAACCAGAATTGCCATAAAAATTTAATAGCTTTTAAAACATAAAATGTAGATATGGGTTTTGTATTTTTCAACCACTTTGAATTAAATTGACCCACAAAGCTTCAGAACATATCTGACTTAGAGAACCAATGCCAGTGCGATTTGTGATTCCAACCTATTCAGGGACTTCATAAATCAACCTCAGTATATGTGTATTAAATGCATAGCATAAAAATATTTTTCAAATTGCTTTTTAATGTACTTCTCAATGCCTGAACTAACTAACTTTGGAAGTAGTAACTACTCTGATTAACTAGCTCACACTATCAGATATAGTTGTATCATAACTGATTCTAACCAAGTAACTAATAAAAGAAAAATAATTGACCTCAGTCATGGAGACAGACAGAAGTCTATTTATGTCATTGTGATGGCAAGTAACAAAAAACCTATGTATGGGTAGAGACAATCATATCTTCATACTGTGAGACATGCTGTGTTCCTCAGCAGACAAAGCTTTGTTACACTGTTTCATACCTGAATGGGAGAGGTACTAGATTGCATAGAAGAGAATAAAGGGAAATCACCAAAGAACATTTTTTCAAGTGATGGTTAAACTTCCAAGATACTTCTTCCAGTCACCGGTGCTATTTTCCATCTGCGTGTTACCTAATCTACAGGCATATTCTGCAGAATTTTCTTAAGGTAAAATTCCAGTTAACACCTGTAAGAGTCCAGACTGAATAACAGTTTCAGGATTTACGCTTCACATTATAAGGCCATTGGAAAAGGTCCTGTGTTTCATACTGCACTGCACACAATGACAATGCTTCAAATGTAATGTAATATTAAGACTTACATTAGTAACATAATATCTTATAAAGCTTTGTGGTAAACATATTTGGTGATTTAGAGAAAACTTACCTATATAGAGATTCCGCTCAGAAGTCAGGCAGTATCTCCCATCCCGAACAAAAAAGGCATTGACTACTACATCCAATAGGGATTTATATTCTATGCATCCAGCTAGTGTATCCAACACAAATTTTTCTTCTGTCACATTGAGAGTCTATAGAGATACAAAATTAATAACGATTCATATACTCTGGAATGTGAATGTTAGTTGTGTACAAAAGAAGTACAATCATTTTGAAGTAATTGAAAAACATGAATAATGAACAGCAGCACCCTTGGTAGGGCTGACACACTTCTAATACTATCAAATATGGGCAGTCCTAGCAAATTAATGACCCTTGTTAAGTAAAATGTAACCTTCCCCAATCTTAAACTTTCAGTTTATCTGTTGACATACACATTTAGTTATGAGGCCTTGATGTGTGAATGTCAACAGTTAATGCAAAGAAAATTTGAAGTCTCTGAGCTATAAGCAATGATTAACTTAGTCAACAGTATGAGCAAGTTTCAGTAAGAGTTTGCTTTTCCAGTAGGAAACCTGTTCTTTGTACATGTGCTACTTCAGGAGACTAAATCAAGAGGAGAAGCTGGACAGGGACTACGGAAAAGACTCTTAATTGCTACTGTAACCTATTATTGGAGAATATGACTATTTTAAACTAAACCTGTGGGTGCCAGGATTCTTGTTAATGCAGACTGTGTGTTTCTTATCCAGCTGTGCTCTCAGTCACTCATAATGTTCATGCAGTATCACAAGAGAACAGAAAGAGGAGGGTCAGCTGCCCACTGCAAGCCATTGGGATCCTAGCTCATAATTCCTTTAAAAAGTTTGAATGCTCCTGACCTTTACAGAAAGTTTCACTCATAATAAATTACTAATGGAATATCTGTTATTACATGAGACAAACTTCTAGTGCCGACCATCTTTAAAACATTGCAATAAAATCTAAGGCCCAGAACAGTTTGTTATTACATGAACTGAAAAAGGACAGCCACACTATGACAAAATGACAAACAATAAGGATTCTTTGACTTAAGGAGGTTAGCCAAGAAGCCAAGACAAAAGCTAAGTTTATCCTATGAAAACATGTAGTCCACATCTGACACATGATCTCCCCCACAGCTCTGAGGTGTGGGAACAATTGAATTGCAATAATATATCAGATCAGAGGTTCACCTTACCTAGTAGGCTATCTGCTAGCATCTTGATCGCTTTATTTCTCTAATGTGATTAATTTCTAGTTCAAAAGTATTATTAAAGGCTGCTGGAAAGAACTATGTGAGCCCTCTGATGTATGACACTATATAGGGCTTTGAGATTGAGCAAATACAAGGCAAAACTTTAAAATTACAGTTCTAATTTTTAAATGTAAAAAATGATGCAGAAGTATTCCAAGTGTATTTTCTCTTTTTTACTTACTCCTGCTCAAAAGCCAGGTTTCATTTCTTCCAAATTGTGCATCATCACTAGAAAAAAATAGTGCCTCCACATAATTATCTCCCTATACATATATATTTATAAATGCATACACACACACACATCTATGCAGGCAAAATTACACCTACATACATCCTTGTAATTTCTTTACTGCCATTGGGATTACACTAACACATCTGACTTCTTCTCTAGCAGAACTGTAATAGACAATATTAGTAATGATGCACATACAGAAACAGAATCAAGCTCAGTTTGTGGGTTTTAGGTCCTCAAGATTAATAATAATTAAAATGATAGAAAAGCTTTATTTGTGTAACTGAAATAATTAGATATGACTATGATTATATTCTGTGACACAGATATGTTTGGTAAGAAAAAAGAGTGTAACCAAACTAATCATTAGATGGAAGTTTCACAAAGTCTGCTGGGCAGCAGTAAATACCGAGTGTGAATAAGCAGGATATCACCTACATTCTTAATCAGGGCTCTAGAGAAAGAAGAACCAATGGTTTGTGTTTGAGATGGAAGAAAGATAAAAGGGAACGCATTTAGGAAAATGGAGCCAACTAGAGTGAGGTGGCAAAGAAGGAGCACAGAGAAAGGAGTAAAAAAGAAGGTAAGGGAAAACAGGAGATACAGAAGGGCTTAGACAGAGGATGGATACAAATGGAAGAACAGAGGAAAGAGACTGAACACAACTGAAAATATGCAAAAAAATTAATTTGATAGGAAGCAAGGACTTCCTCTTGCTAAGCACTGAGAATTCTTGTAAGGTACACAGTCTATTCCAAATATACCTTTTCTGGATGAAGATTTATGGGAGTTCTTTCATAAAATGGACAAAGAAAATCCAGAAATCTAACCTCCCACTAAACATTCAAATATATATCCCCTATTTAGTATGAGGTATCTGAGAATTCACCACAAAAGGCAAAAGCAAATGTAAGTACCTGAATGGCAAAGTGAGACAGGATGATGTAGTTCCAGTAAAAGTAGGATTGTGACATTTTGAATCTAAAACAATTGGTACCCTTGAACAAATACTGCTGTTCATGAACAAATCAATATCTGCAGACAACAGTAGCTCTGATGATAAACAGAAAGTCCATAATAAAACTGGACAAGCCCACTGGAAACCAGCCCAACAAAAACTCTTACAACTATCTCCACTAGAAAGTTAGAATATAAATTGTTTCCAGGATCCTTATTTGATTAGAATCTTTCCATTCACCTTCCAAGTACTTTGCTATATATCATACATGTATAAATTGCTACAACAAATCAGTGATTTTCAAATGTACTTTGGAGAGATGACCAAAAGCAGATAAGCAGATAACAAGAAGAAGACAACAGTGCCCAAATCATATCTCCTATGCAGTTCAGACTACAGCATAAAAATGCAATTCCGTATTTATATTTACTCTACTTCTTTTACTGCTCTGAGTTAACAAGTCAGTCAGAAGTTAGTTGTTAGAACAAACACAGAAATAAGTGCTTACTCTTGCTTACTTCCTGAGCAAGAAAGTACATAACCACTACACGGCCTCGAGCTAAGCAACAAGGGGACACAAGGTGCAGCTTGGGGACTGCAGTACTGATTGGTAATTCTGTGGACCACAGGCCAAATAATCTTCTCATGAAATATTATCAATTGAACCTGCTTTCAACTACAAATGGTACTAAGTGTTCTGTTTCTACATATAAAAATTAAATAGTTAAGCAGCCTGCAGCTGTGTCATCTAAGGAAGTGATCTCATCAGAACTCATAATAAACTGAACAAGACTGGGCAGGATCAGTACTTGGATAAGAAATCTCAAAGGTGAGCCAGTTGTTGGTTAAGCCCTACTGATAATCTAGTGAATCAAAAACCAAGCCAATGCTTTAAAACAATTAGGATACTCTCTGCATAGAAAGTACATTGTGTCCCGAACAAATTTCATCAAGGATATTTACAGTTTATCTGTATATCTGAAATCATAATTGCTTTGGGAACATAATGTGTTGGGTAGGCTTCTAGCACTAATTCCTGGGTGCATTCTTTCCGTGTGGCTTTATGTTGCACTTTATGTCAGTGGGAAGTATTTCAGAGGTGGGTCAAATGGTCCTGAAACAGTACAATATGATGACAGGTTGTACGTTTTGAGCACCTTTTGCATGAGGTTCTCAAAACACTTTACTAACATTAATTGTGTTTAATGAGATTCCTTTTGGCTAATACTATTTTGCAAATGCACAAACTAAAGCATGGAGCAGATAAGAGATTTGCCCCAGGTGACACACTAAGTCATTGGTGGCAACAAGAAAAGAATTAATAAATGCTAATTTGTGAGCCTTTGTTCTGTCCATCAGACCATCTTCCTACTTTTTCAAGTATACTTTACCTCATGTCTTTCTCTGAAACAACTAGCAGTTAGCTATGTTCACAGTACGTGAGCCAGCCAAGTTTCTTCAAGAAGAGAATAGACTGTGGAAGAAAGCTTAAGCATAGGACTTTGTACACAAACAACTTTCAACGTGTGTTAGTACAAGAAATGGCATGAATTAAATGGAGAAGTGTCTGCAAAAAGCAAGCTTTGCCACCATGGGTGTATGGTAATAAGGATGGTTACAATAGGACCTGTTTAAGGGCCAGAGAAATCAGAAAAGGATGGGTAAGGAAAGAAAGAAAAGCTCTTGCTTCTGGAGAGAAGGAAGGAAAGGAACATTAGCCATGCCTTGTTTGAGGCTTCTCAGGGTAAGGATTTAGCTTAAGGTGAAATAAACAATTTAGAAAGAAGATAATATTTGATGAAAAGATAAAATGGCTTTCACCTCCTGAGAGAACTGAGTAATAGTATGTACTGAACTTGTCTACTACTAGGAAGAATATGCACATTTTGCAGATGCAGTCTGATTAATTTATAGTGCTTCAGATATCAGTGCTAGTCCTCTCCAAGGGTCTAATCAAAATGCTGTGGAAATGAAAGAAAATATTCTTATTGACTTCACCAGGTTTTCAATCAGTCACCAGAACCCTGTATGCTTCCGGTAATTTAAATGGGGAAAAAACCTTGGGATCTTAGGATGTAAGCAGGAAAAAGTGCTGCTTCTACTATTTATAGTCTATGTTGCAGTCACAAGCTTGTATTTTCATCTACACGTGATAATGCTGACCATCTTGAAGAAGTACAGTTAATGTTATTTTCCATTGTACTTAATATTAAATCCCAGGAGCAAGACATTGCAGAAAAATCAGGTTCCATCCTTTCCTTAGAAAAATCCTAATCTACATTTTTGTCAGTAAATAATAATACATATTAGACTTGTATAATTTAATAGGATTTTTTTTACCGCATATCAAAATAATCTTGCATTAAGTTATTTTCATATTTAAAACCAAATCTATGACTTTTGACATTTGGGGATTTTACTCACAGTTGAGTGGGCATATGTGAGACACACAGCTGAACCAACACAAATGAGAACTATTAAGAATTATGCCAAATTACACCATGTTCTTGTGAAATGGAAAGCTCATAAACAGGTTCATCTTGCTATCAACATGAAAGGGATAAAGGAGTAAAACAGTGAATCTGGGGTGGCCGTTATGATTTTATGGAAGTAAGCTTTTCCATAGATGGGATTTATAAAGGTCAATATGATGGGTCTGACCCTGCAACTCTAATTGAAGCAAACAATTCCACTGAAAATAAAGTGAGTTATTTGCATATAGAAA